CCAGGTGCAGTATAGATCTCACTTTATCAACAAGGTCTCCTTTCTTGTCTTTAGTTTTGCAGGGTATGCCTCTTTCTTTCAACCAAGCCACAATTGTCACTGTGTTCACTTTACCCAGCTAAAATGAAAAGTTGTTAAATTTCATTTATTTCCATTTTTATTAAAATTAATTTAAAATAATTTTAATTGAAATGAAATATTGAAAGAAATTGTGCTTTTCATAAGGTTAAACCAACATCAGATATTTTTTTAAATATTGAAATATTTGAAAACTTCTCAACATGAGTGCTAACCCACCAAGACTTAAGTTCTTGACAGTAAATAATTCAGTAATATTGAAATCCCTGTCAAATATAAAGCAATCAGAGAACATTGCTGTGCCTCTTAAGCTAGGTATTTACCACAGTGCTATAAAGTAGGATGTGTATAGCTGTGTCTCTTTCTGTATTTAGGTAACCTTACCTGATTATTGTATGCCAGTTCTTCTATATTCACGTTCTCCTGGACTTTAGGTTTGTTCCTTGGTTTCTTTGACTGTAGCTTCATGGTTTCCTCAAACTTATGTTAAGAAATTTTCATGAAAAGTTTATGTCCATTAAAATTAAAGCAATGACAACTTACTGTGTGGTTACGTATAATTATAATTAGCCTATGGATCTCTTGCTTTTTAAGACAAATTTGAATGTGAAATTATTAAAAAAAGACTACAAAATGAAAGAGGTGTCAATTATCCAACTACTTCACATCATGTGCCTCAAATGTTATATATGTAACTGCAGTTTTTTCATTTAAGAAAGAAAAATGTTATTACAAACCTCATCATCCATTCTCTGTACTTTAGCTGGAGGGTGTGAGGCTGTGGTATAACTGGCATGGCCCTGGGTAAGAGATACTGGTGTCACTTCAGGCTTGTTAGTTGTTAGTTCTTCCGGACAGCCACTTTCTACAGTACCAAGTCTTGGCATTCTAGATACTTGAGCAGAAGCAGAGTTTGTTTTGGCAAGACTGAGTTTTTTGGTGCATTCAGTCCAAGGTAAATCGGAGGTCCCAGTGGGCTGACTTCCTGATACAGATGTGACAGACATGGGTGACTGGAGTATCCCATTTCTTTCTGAGTTTCTTATTTTTATAGTGGTATCCTTAGTGACTGAGGCAATCTCCTTTGATTTGCCAACAAGTCCAGCTGTTTTTAACTTCTTGGGTTTAAATATTGGCACTATTCTAGATGCAGAGGCAGATACCTCACCAATGTCGGTGCTTGAAGATCTGCAAGCTAGTTTCTTTGTGGATTGGAATTTTGGTACTACTCTATTTGTCTGACAAGAAGCAGATGTGCCTTCTTCAGACTGCTGAGGTTGACTCATTGTGCTACTAGCACTAACCTGTATACCACCATTGTTGATTTTCCCATCTAGCCTGCAACCGTCAATGAAAGAAGATGCACTTGATGTAGTAGCTCCCTCCTGGTCTGGTTTTGCAGGTACCTTCTGTGTTTCTGCTGTACTGCCATGCTGGGGCACCAGTTGTTGAATGGGGTTCTGTGGAGTTGAAGAATACAGAGCAGCAAGTAGCTGCAGAGAGGGTGGGGCCTGTGGTCCTCCGTACTGCCGCAGAGGCAGTGGTGCCAGAATGGTGTTTCTCTTATATGGATATGTGATCTTCTCTGGGGGCTTGTGGACCAAGTTGGCATTATTCTTGCTGCTTGGTTCTACCTGCAATATTTATATATTCACTTATTAGATCAGCAATGAAATTGGGGTTAACTTACTAATTACCTAATAATAATGTATAGCATTACATGAATTACTTATATAATTCTTATACATCGTATATAAAATCCATCTGAACAATTGCCAGTATGGGCCATCTGTGGGTGGCTTTTGATGGAAATTCTTTAACCTGTGATTTTTTTAAAAATTTCACATAAAATTGTTCTTCATATCACTCTTGTTTCTCAATTTATTTTTATATCCATTTTTCACAATGCAACCAAATTAATTCCTGTTGATTTACCTGAGTAGCATCCACTAAAGCAGGCACTGGTTTCCAAACATTTTTCTCAAGCTGTAGTTTCTGCCCACAAATCCTTGGCATTTTGGCTTGTAGATCTTGTAAAAATGAGTGTACTGTCTGTGGGGAACCAGGTCTGGAACCTACAGCTGGCTCATGTGTACGCAAGCAGCAACTGGGGTAACTTTAATCATTGTATTTAAAGAATATATCTGCTTATAGCCAATATATATATGTATGTGTTTATGTCCACATTATTTAAACTTATAAAAGTCACCCCCCCCAAAAAAATAAATAAATAAATAAATAAATAATAAATAAATAAATACAAAGCTGACAACTGACCATACTCCAATATCAGAATGGGGATATCAAGTATAATAATGGGGATATCAATATCTTTATGATGTTGTTTGTTTTACATTTCTCCTGTTTAAACTTAAGAGTTGTCAAAAACTTATAGTAAGATTTAGACTTTTTAAAAACTTCTAAATTTTAAGAAAAAGATACGTAAAAAGAGTCTGGCCTATGGGCTTGAAATGTATTTGACAGTAGAACAAGCCTTCCTCATTCTCTGGTAGACGATAGCCATGCTGAACAAAAAATGGCTTATTAAAATATATATCAAATTTAAACTTAACTTGAATATCCAAATATAAACATTTAGAAACAACTGTTTAAACAATTTAAGTTAAATAAGCTCAAATTAAATTTTTAGTCCTGCACATTTTATGACTCATGTTAGGATTTCTTTTTATGCAATATTCAAATCGCATGGGTAATGTAGTATTATGCAATTTATGATTTTTAAATTTTTAATTGACATAAAAATTTGAACCTGAGTTTATCAGTTGCTTACCATGTTTTTCCAATGTCTCTTCATTTCTCTGTAACTTCTGAAGACACCGTCTGTGGGGAGACTGCAGGTAACAGCAACAAGTTTGCCTTTCTTCATGCTGAATTGAAATGGAGTCCCAGAGAACGTGGGCATTAAATGTGCTACAGAAACTAAACTGAAATTCATATTACTTCAACCTCAATAGGAACATGAACAGGAATAAAAAACATTTCTTTAATAATAATTAACAATAAATCCAAAATATCAAAGTCAAATTAGGCTTACACAGGGTAATGGACAGGTGAAGTAGTTTTTTATTTAAATACAATTGACTGTAATTCTGAAAAAATCAAGCAATGCTGACAATAGTTAAAGATCAGTGTTATAATATTACACCTGGGTAAAACATAAAACCACTGATTTCCCAGTGAATATTCATCTATTCTGCTGTGAGGATTCTGTACAAGTTCTAGCAATACTGACTGTGTTATGTTCAGATCTTCCAACTGAAATAGATTTGAAGATTTGTAAGAATATTTTTATTGTGCATCAATTCAATAAAATATGATTTTGAGTTCTGTAAGAGATTTTATAAAACAAGCAGAAATCATCAAGTGGTCAAGTTATTTAAAACATTGTCATACACCTGTTAAGATTTCACTCAGATGCAAAAAATGTAGTTGTTTCACCTGGTCAAAATTTCAACCTGTTTAACAGATGAAAGTGGACTTGATAGTTTAAAGAATGATCGGTGCAAATTTACCTTCATTGGAGGAATCCGTAAAACAGTGGAGCGAATCATAAAATACATTTCATTGTCATTTACACTAACTTCTAGACCTGTATCAGAAAAAATAGTTTCATTACAGTGATTACTTTTCCAAAAGTATTTTACACTTTTCTGTGATTTTCATACTTATCTAAGTGAACTTTTTAAAATATCATTTAATTTAAAAGTTATAATTCGCTTGACCATAATTAAAAATTTAAAAATTGTTATCATATTTTAATTTACTTACCTACTGCATTCATATTGATGGAGATTTGTAAAAAGTCTCTCCCTGAAAATGAAATACAAAAATACTTAAATGCTGATATAAGGTTGATGGATTTTTCTAAACCAGCCTTTTGAAACTAAATATTCAAACGTACAGAAAATATATAAATAAAGTTTTCCAAAGTACTATACACCCTTTTAACAGAACCATTTTTGGTGAGTTTGAAAATTATTACAGAGATACTCAATATCAATAAAACATCAAACTATTCAAAATAATAAACTGCTTTAAAATGAAACAAATTTTAAAATTCCTTCTTTAAATTTTAAGATCAGTCTTTACCTTGTACAAGCCATTCCCCCACTTTATTCCAATTTGGTGCTATCTTGGCAAGCAATGTGTACTGCAGACATTCCTTGTACAAAACAGGGGTCACGTGATGAGGCTGACCTGCCTGTTGGTTAATAAATTTGTAAAATAATTGTCATTTTTTCACAGAAATCAAGTGACCTTAAAAAACTTTCACTCAATAAAATCAATATCTAATACTTATTTTATCAAGTCTGTTAATTTATTTATTTTTTTTATTAAAATACTTTGTTAAGATGTCTTTCTGTATATAGTCAATATACATGTACATCTACATCAATGCACGATCATGCAAATATTAAGTGTTCTGTTCACCTGGATAATATCTTGCAAGTTGCTGTCATCACAAAATGTTGAAGCAAGCTGCCATTCAATTTCAAAATAAATGATTCGTAGTAATTTTATGCAGTCTACAACAACATTACTGGTATTATTGAGAAAAATGGTGATAGTATAATAAATATTGTGTAAATAAATTTATTAATATTTGTATTAAATAAAAACAGAAAGAACCCACCTCAAGTCCCATCTTTTCAAATCTTGTTTGCAGTCTTCCAGTTCGGTACAGAGACTTCTATAATGGAAAACATTAACCCTTGTTACTCTAAGTTAACTGTCACCAAGAACATTTATATACATATGAAATGAAATGTTATTTTGATTAATTGCTAAGCTGCCAGAGATCAAGCACTTTGTATATATAATCATATTTGGTGATAAGAAATGCAATAGCACAGTGCCTGGCCCTGTAATGACTGCTACTGGTTGTAACTGTGACATGATCTGTCTCAACAAACACAATCTGATTTAGAAGTCCTGTCCATTAGATGAACTTTATCTATAGGCCTTGTTTTAAAAAGAAAACAGGGTAAACAACATATTATGATTAACATAATGTTTTTTTGCCATATGTACTATGAGCTATGGTGGATCCATGATAGAATTAGGGGATTTTGAATACTGGGCCCAAGTTGTGCAAATATTGCTGATAAAAAATTGTACACCACAATAACTCGCTGCATAGAATTTTTCCTCAAAAATTCTTATTTTTGTCCAAGTAACAAAAAAGGCACATAGTCAATTTACCTGCATAATTATATGTACTCTAGACATGAAGCCCAATGCAGGAGTGGCTAAAATATCTGGCTCTGTGAATATCAGCTCCCTGAAAAATATTTAAGATTATATGAGATACTTTGTCAGTAATCAGGTCAACTATAATTTATTCTTGTTCTCTTACATCAAAATACCAATACTATAAGTATACAAAGAAAAATTAAAACTAGTTCCAGTCTTTTTAAAGAATATAAAAAGTTTAATATTGAAGAACTTACATTTCTGATCATTCATTCATCAATCTATTTATTTATTTACTTATTTATTTAAACATGCATTCATTCACTCAATAATATCCACTTATTCTTTAATGTACTAAGTAATTTATCCAGTTTTATTAATCATGTATTTATTTATATATTTGTAATTAAGTGACAATACAATATTCACCTGCATTTAAGAATCTGTGGCAGCTGTCTGCAGACTGAAGCCTGCTGTGTCACACACACTGTAACAGCACACAACTCCTTCATCTGTGGAGGACAAGAGAAGTACAACTCCCAGGGTCCACCGTCATGCTGGTTCCTGGCCTGCATTTTACTTATTTGATATATGATGTTCTTAAATGATGTAGTCTAAAATTTTCACAGTCGATGCTAACTGGTTATAATTTACTTTGCTCTATGCTGAAAATAAATGAATAAGTTAAAAACTTGAATTGTCTGTAAACTATGATAAATAAAGTATAAAACGTTAAACTTTTATTTTCAATTTACTTACCAGTATATTGTACTTGTAGAGGTTAAGTGAAAATAAATTATGGCAGTATCCCCCCCCCCCCCTCCCACAACCTAGAAAGTATAGGCCTTTGAATTTCATTTTATTAAGTTATGTTCTTACTTCCAATATCTCTGCTGTTCAAAGTAACAAATTGTTTGATTTTACCTAAAATAACGTTGCGTACGCTTGTGAAGCGAATAAATGGTTTTCAACAAACGTTACGATGTTCAAAAGATTTTGACTTTTACTTTCACAAGCAGACGGCAGTCAGTGTGCAAACTAGTCAATAGGTGTCGCTTATCAAGATAATCTGATAAATAATAAAATGTACTCAGTTGATGCATCTGTTGGCATAAAAGCTTTACAATAAACCAAAATATTTATTTTATATATTTTACTACTCTAAAGTACCACTATAATACGTTATACAAATAAATGATTATTTTTCTTGGGTTTTCCTGAAAGTCACGTGACTCTGACGACTGTCAACTTCCGCCATCTTTTCGGGAAGTCAGTACGGTTTGGATGTAGACGAATAATACTTATAAAAATACCAAAGCTGGTCTAAATGTCAAACTCCACGAGCTTACAGGTAAGTCAGATATTCATTGGTTGATGTGATACCGATCGCTGTTATGCTGATCTACCCCTGTGAGTAAANTATGTGTGAAATTGTTCCACTGTGTTGTCAACTGACAAGCAGTGTCGAACTTTGACAACCTGGACATCGAAATCAGTCGTCGGTCTTCACGTCCAGTATTTTTTCTTGGACGACCCATCAGAGGCAATTTGTCTCTTGATCCAGTGTTTCTATACCGAGACCAGACCCTCTGCACGGTTCTGACTGAACAATTCAATTGTATCAATATTCTGACATTGCTTATATTCCGCCTCTTCAGGTTAATAACTTGCACCTATAACCGTTAGATAATTGCCTGTATCTTGCCATATTGGAGGAAGACAGGAATAACATTTGCTGTACATGTACAAGACCAACAATACAATTCAATGGTTTAGCGGTTTTATACTCATTAGTCACATTATAAGTAGACCAGGCATTATAAATACCAAGATCTGCCTACTTTTATTACTCTGAGTTAGGGGGTGACACTTCTTTTGTCCAGTGTGTGTATAATTTATTGTTTTTCTCTAACATCAAAATACCAGTACTATAAGTATACAAAATTAAAACTAGTTCCAGTCTTTTTAAAGAATATAAAAAGTTTAATATTGAAGAATTTACATTTCTGATCATTCATTCATCAATCTATTTATTTATTTATTTAAACATGCATTCATTCACTAAATAATATCCACTTATTCTTTAATGTACTAAATAATTTATCCATTTTTATTAATTATGTATTTATTTTTTACATTCATCATTAAGTGACAATACAATATTCACCTGCATTTAAGAATCTGTGGCAGCTGTCTGGAGACTGTGGCTGAAGCCTGCTGTGTCATACACACTGTAACAGCACACAACTCCTTCATCTGTGGAGGACAAGAGAAGTACAACTCCCAGGGTCCAACGTCATGTTTGTTCCTGGCCTGCATTTTACTTATTTGATATATGATGTTCTTAAATGATGTAGTCTAAAATTTTCACAGTCGATGCTAACTGGTTATAATTTACTTTGCTCTATGCTGAAAATAAATGAATAAGTTAAAAACTTGAATTGTCTGTAAACTATGATAATAAAGTATAAAACACTTGCGTTAAACTTTTATTTGCAATTTACTTACCAGTATATTGTACTTGCAGAGGTTAAGTGCAAAAAAAAAAAAAAAAAAAAAAACTATTGCAGTATCCCCCCCCCCCCCAACCTAGAAAGTATAAGCCTTTGAATTTCATTTTATTAAGTTATGTTCTGACTTCCAATATCTCTGCTGTTCAAATCTCGGATCTCCATTTTTTCAATGAGATTTTCAAGCACTTGTAACTATGTCTGTAATTCGTTGTATTCGAGTCATAATTGAGGCTACCTAAAGATTAAAAGCGAATGCCTGGCGATGAATATCTGTGATACAATTTTTGAATTTAAAGTAACAAATTGTTTGGTTTTACCTAAAATAACGTTGCGTGCGCTTGTGAAGCGAATAAATGGTTTTCAACAAACGTTACGATGAAAGATTTTGACTTTTACTTTCACTAGCAGACGGCAGTCAGTGTGCAAACTAGTCAATGGGTGTCGCTTATCAAGATAATCTGATAAATCATAAAATGTACTCAGTTGATGCATCTGTTGGCATAAAAGCTTTACAATCAACCAAAATATTTATTTTATATATTTTACTACTCTAAAGTACCACTATAATACGATATACAAATAAATGATTATATTTCTTGGGTTTTTCCTGAAAGTCACGTGACTCTGACGACTGTCAACTTCCGCCATCTTTTCGGGAAGTCAGTACGGTTTGGATGTAGACGAATAATACTTATAAAAATACCAAAGTTGGTCTAAATGTCAAACGCCACGAGCTTACAGGTAAGTCAGATATTCATTGGTTGATGTGATACCGATCGCTGTTATGCTGATCTACCCCTGTGAGTAAAAAAATTCCCGACATATCCACTAAATTTAGAGGCATTTGTTTTGAAAGAGCTCGTGAGTCATGTGCATCACCATTATGATCCAAATATCCATTCAAGATGTAGTCTACGTCAATATGGAATGTTATTGACATCAGCAAACCTTTATAAGAATGACATAAAATTTAACAACTACCTTTGTTTATGAGTGCTTGGTCACAAGACTCGACAGTTACAATACTGCCGTAACACTAAAAGCGACAGTCGGGTCACAATTTCCAGTTTTCGTTCGTCTCACTGCTTTATTCAGCCTAATCCGACACTACTACTTTGAAGTCGGAGCAAATTTTTGCTAATATCTTCGAAACACAAACTTGAAGTAGAAATTGATTGTTTTTGATAATGATGGTGTGTCAACCAACCTCACAAGTAAGTAATTAGAAAAGTTAGAGTTTCCTGTTTGTGTAGATTGTGTAATACTAATAACAAAGTACATGTCTGTGAGCATTTAACTTTATGCTTATTTGACATAGCTCCCCAGAAACCAAATGTACTATTTAGCATTGGATTGTAAATGAAGAATTTCTTCTACGTTTTTCTTGGTTTTTTTTTTTTATAATAGTACATTACTAATTTCCATGCTCACATCTATTTCCAGAAAGCCATTGACATAGTCACCAAGGCTACAGAAGAGGACAAGAAAAAGAATTATGAGGAAGCCTTGAGGCTGTATGAGCATGGTGTAGAGTACTTTCTCCATGCAATTAAATGTATGCAGATTGAAATTTTGAGTTTTTTAATCAAGTTTCTTTGTAAAATTGCAACAGATTAAAATATTAAAATAAAAATGTTTTGCCTTTCTGCTGCTATTTTTGGAAATTACTGTTTGGTTAAATGTAAAAGCCTTAACTGATATGTTTATTTATTCAAGCATTGAAAAAAATTTCAAACGTAAAGTCTTGGCTGTTAGATAAAATTAGGAGGTGATTTATTCTAATTTCAGATGAGGCACATAGTGACAAAGCCAAGGAAAGTATCAGAGCTAAGTGTGTTTCATATTTGGACAGAGCAGAGAAATTAAAACAGCATGTCAGTGGCAAGAAACAGAAACCAGTAAAGGATGGCAGTAGTGGTGGAAATAAAAAGTAATAAAAATTCATTTATTTATTATTTTAAACATGTTTGTTTATTTTATTTTATTTTACATTTATTTTTGTTTGTTTAATTTATTGAAAAATGCTAAATATTTTTCATTTTTATTTTTCAATTATTTTGCTTCTATGTTACCCTTTTGAACATATTGAAAAAGAAGAAAATTACTAGTAATAAAATGCTATCAAAAAGCATATTGATATAGAATTGTTTTGATAAATAAAACTTGCAATTTGAGTGAAAAGGGATTAAGAAAAAAAGACATACAAGAAGAAGAGATTAGACCTGAGAGATTAAAGATTCAATTTATATCCATCTTAAAGTTTTAATCTTCTGATAGAACCATTTTAAAATTCTTGTGAAACAAAAGAAAGTGAAGGGTCAATTATGTAAATAAATCTGGTTTTCTGTAAACAAATATTCTTTATTATATTATACATTAAAACCAATGCTCTGCTGCAGGAAAGGAGACAATGACAGCAGTGACAGTGATTCAGAAGGAAATGCCGAAAAGAAAAAGTTTCAGACACAGCTGGAAGGGGCCATTGTGATGGAGAAACCTAACATTAAGTGGGACGACGTAGCAGGTCTGGATGGAGCCAAAGAGGCTTTGAAAGAGGCAGTCATTTTGCCCATTAAATTTCCCCATCTATTCACAGGTAAGAGATTTCAAGATATTAAGTGATTTTGGCCAAGTTTTTTTTATCAGTGGAAAAAAGTACAAAAGTATTACTGTAATGACTAAATAACTGAAATAATCATCAAATACTATTTGAGCTTTTAACTCATTATCTATTTCCAAAATGCTGAAAGATTCTTTATTTCTTATTGCATAGAATTTTAGTTGTTGGGGAATAAAGCACATAGGGGAGACCGGGGCTAGTTGGCCCAGTTAGACACTTTTGGCCTTGTAGAGCCAACTAGGAATGAGTTAGAGTAACAAAACCGGGTTTAAAGTAAGCCCCATGAACTAAGCTACGTATGCAACGTCATTATTTTTCAAATATAATGCCAGATGGCTCACAATTTGACAAAAAACGCAGTTGACGTCAGGGGGGCCAACTTGCCCCGCCACGGGGCAAGTTGGCCCCAGGGTCGGGGCAAGTTGGCCCCCTATACAAAAATGAAGTAAATTTGCCATGTAAACGCCTTGAATTACATTTTTATACATTTTTAATTTATTAAATTGATTTTTGAGAGTCTTTGATGAATAAATAGTTCAAATGAGGCAGATTTATTGAGGTTTCCGTACGTCACGTTGTAAGGGGGTCTATGTGTTGCAAGAACCAAAATATCTATCAATAGAATTTGTTTTGTTTTAATAAAGAATAAATTAATAATGGTATAAAGCAGGTTTTTAATGAATGAAAACGAATAATAAATTTTCGTTTTAAAAGAAAGTAACAAATTCAGTTTTAAACCATCGAGTTTGTTTTAACAATGGTCTCTAGCTCTGTTGCGCGCAAAGGTTTGTGGGTAATATGATGGTCCAACTTGCCCCGAGTCAAGGGGGCCAACTAGCCCCGGGTGCACACTTTTTATTTTAAAGGATGGCAGCCATTTATGGTGCTAGAATGAGCAACGATGATACATCTCTGTGAAACTTGAAAAAATGAGCTTCAGTTTGATGCCCTATACATATATTATATTTGATCAAAAGCCTATGAAAATAGATTTTTAAATCTCTTAAACAAAATTACTTTTAGGTGCAAAAATCGTTTATTTCGACTCACCGCTTAAGTAAAACTTTTTAACGTCTGACACTTCCTTAGCATTGTAGGCTACGGTCACTTTACAAGAGTATGTGGCCAATTTTTTTACCTCGTAGTTACTTTTTCATAAATTGACGGGGGGCCAACTTACCCCGGGGTCCAACTAGCCCCGGTCTCCCCTAATAATAATATGTTACATTAATTGATTGTTTACAGTGAATCATAATGATCCACAATTAGTCATGTTTTTTAACATCTTATATCAGGTAAAAGACAGCCATGGAGGGGTATATTATTGTATGGGGTGAGTCAAGTTATCCATAATTTTAAGTCTCAGTTTTTATTACCAATAATTTCAGATGTTAATTAATATTTGAGTAAGGCTTGTGGATAGTTGGAGTATAGGCATCGTTTAAAATAAAGATGCAAGAAATAAGACCATGACTGGGAACTAAATGAGAAAAGAACAAGGTATGTAAATGACAATTATTGTGAGCATCATCGTCATCATCATCATCATCATCATCATTATTAATATTATAATTTTTTTTACAGCCCCCAGGGACAGGGAAGTCTTACTTAGCCAAAGCAGTAGCCACAGAAGCCAATAACTCCACCTTCTTCTCAGTGTCTTCATCAGATTTGGTCTCAAAATGGCTTGGAGAAAGTGAAAAGTAAGCTGGTTGATTTCTCTCTCTTTGTCTCTCACTGTGATAACGTAGACATGTTACTTTGATAACAATGTGTTGACAGTGTTGTTAATTAGAACTGAAGTTGACCTACTAGATGCTAATATATTTTGCATCACATAGTTCTTTTACTTATTCTCTCTGATTGTTTGTATTTTATATAAAGTTATATAAAGTCATATTTTTTGTTAGTTTAAAAAAGTTGTCTTGTTTAAAATTGTTACGATAACATGATTATAAGAATTATATAATGTACTCCATCTCAATTTATATCCTGCCTTAGCATTCTTCAGACATGAGCTTTTTCCCCATAAAAGTGGAATTCCGCGTTTTGTAATTCAATTCTGATGGTTCCTGAGATTTGTCAAGGTTAGGTGTTGGGTCCCATGATAAATGTTCCGTTTTATTATTATTATTATTATTATTTTATTTATTTATTTATTTATTTATTATTTATTTATTTATTTATTATTATTATTATTATTATTATTATTTTATTTTTTTTTTTTTGTTTTTTTTTGTTTTTGTGAAACCTAGGCTCATGTCTGATTCTTATAAAAAAGTCTGAATAAATGATGTGTGTGATTTTCAGACAAAATTGAACACTGTCGAGTAGAATCCTTTAACATTATTTCCTTGAAAGCACACTCCTTTCTGGTTCATTGTGTATAACATATGTCTTGATGAAATCTCTTTCAGATTAGTAAAGAATCTATTTGAGATGGCCAGAGAACACAAGCCGAGCATCATTTTCATAGATGAAGTGGACTCCCTCTGCTCGTCCAGGAGTGATAACGAGTCTGAGTCAGCCCGGAGAATTAAGACAGAGTTTCTTGTACAAATGCAGGGTAAGTGATAAGGAGGTAGAATCTCAAAAGAGAGACAGGCAGTGTGCTTGTTACAAATACAGGGGCCGGTTTCACAAAGCAGTAGTTAGTTAGAACAACTAACTACTGAACTACCTCGCTAACGAGCAAACTCAGCGATTTTCGAGGGGTGTTTCACGAAGCAGTAGTTAACTTATCACTAAGTTCAGTCGTAAAGTTCGGTCGCTAGTTCTCTCGTTACTCACCATAGTCTCGAAACCGTCTGCCGGAAGTGGAACTCTTGCGTAAAAGTGTCACGAAAGCACTAACTCTCCAATTTTTGGTGGCTGGAAATGCATAAGAACGTCTGCTTTGAGGTCGTCGTAAAGGATCTCCACCACCTTTTTGCCGCTCTTTTTGTCACAGCTAGGCGCAACCTCTCGTAAATTGCATCATCGTATGTATATTATAATAGATCCTGCCTTTCATGAAAATGTCGTAGTCTACGTTGCCGTCTGGCGGTACGGATAGCAAGAAAGGTAGCCGCCATATTGGATACAAAGACAAACGACAGACAACGGTAACTAAGCAACCTTTTTAGTTCACTCATTATGCATGCGTACGATGAAATTCTAGAGTTAGCGACTGGTCTGACCAGTCGTTAAATATCCATGGTAATAACGAGAAAATAACGAGCGAGAGAACTAGCGACTGCTTCGTGAAACGGCACTATAACTAGTGAGAGGCTAACTACCGATCGCTAACTAACTACTGCTTTGTGAAACCGGCCCCAGGGTAGTTGATGGTATACTGAGACAATCTACCAAGAGAGTAAGGGTAGTGGTTTGGTTTGCCCAAGAAAATTCTAAAAGACCATTTGAAGGTTATGTTATATGTCATCAGAATTATATTATCTACTATTCATCTTTTTTTTTTTAATTTATTTTATTATTATTTTTTTTTTTTTGTAGTAGGCTTAGTTGTGCATAATATTTGCAAGTAGCTCACTAAAATTTCCTTTGTGTTCAGCATTTCATATTTTCCACTGAAGGAATGCACAGTTTACTTAGGTTCTGTTTTGATCAGTTATTGACAATGAAAATGTGAAAATTGACCTTAACATTTCAGGTGTTGGGAATGATAATGAGGGAATTTTGGTGTTAGGAGCCACAAATATTCCTTGGGTGCTTGACTCTGCTATAAGGAGAAGGTAGGCATGCAGTTACGCGCGCACACACACACACACACACACACACACACACTTATGGTAAGCTTGCATACACACACACACACACACACACACAGGCATGCACACACATTTGCCAAACAACATTACTGCAAGTAAAGTGAAATAACTGCATTGACCTGCTTTTTGCTAGATTTGAGAAAAGAATCTACATCCCACTCCCAGAAGCACCTGCTCGAGCCACCATGTTTCAGTTGCATCTTGGGAACACCCCAAACTCTCTCACTCAAGAAGACTTCAGAGAATTAGGACTGAGAACTGAGGGGTAAGCTGTTAATCGGTGTGAATTGTGTGAAGCCATTCAAACAATCTTTTAAGTTATTAAATAAATCATGCAAAACTAGGGAAATTTGATCGATATATATATATATATATATATATATATAAAGTTCTAGTATCTACATGTATATTCAAATTATCTGTGCCAAAATATTTTAGCTCACTCTGCTTTTAAAGCACTAGGGTCCAAAAATTTTCTAACCTAAAGAAGAAACCAGACCAGTTGACAAGCAACTGAAGAAACTTGTAATGTTTTTCTGGCCTTTTTTTATAGACATGTGGCATGGAGCCAGAACAAATGTCAGAAATGTTGCAGACTGGGTTATTTTTTGTCTGCTTTATCTATATACTGTTGTTTGATTTTAGCTACTCTGGAGCAGATATTAGTATAGTAGTAAGAGACGCACTCATGCAGCCAGTGAGGAAAGTACAGACTGCTACACATTTCAAAAGGGTGAGAGCAATTTGAAGTAAAATCTTCCAGGTTTTTGTTTTTATCCTTGTTTATTGTAGAAACCAGGACATACCTGAAAATGAGACTTAAAAGTGAAAAACATTATGCTCTAAATTTTTTCCATTGGTATAATCATTACAGGTTTTTATTTTGTTTATCATAAAAATTAGAAGAAGACTGAAAGTGAATCTTTAAGTAATTTTAAAATATGTTATGAATTATTTACCCAAGAACACTTGTTGCAAGAAACGAAGAAAAATGCAGTCTGCCACAAGAGTCTCAAATGAAATGTCTTTTAAAGAGATGCTTACAGTTCAGTTGGCTATCAAACAATGGGCTTATTTCACATCTTCAGGTAAGAGGCCCGTCACGGGATAACCCAGATATGATAGTCAATGACCTCTTGACCCCTTGCTCCCCGGGTGACCCTCAGGCTATGGAAATGAACTGGGTGGATGTGCCTGGAGATAAATTATTTGAACCTGTTGTTTCTATGGTAAGTTTGGAAAAAAAGTTTGTGTTAGGCCTTTGTCACAGCTATGTATATAATGATTGTAAAGTTAAAACATTGTACAGAAATATCATGAAACTATCACACTGCAGCTGTGGTAAGTATTGGGTCAGTCTTTTGTCAGGTGTCACATAAGGTGAGTATATAAACTCCCAGTTTTATGTACAGCATAAGACAGGATAAAGCAAACTCTCAGTTTAATGTCATGTATGTGTTAAAAAGCCTTTAGTTAGAAATCAAGAATACAACATTCTGGAGATAGAAATATACCTGGACCTAATGTAGCTGTGGTGGGTATGTGATTTTGTTTTGTCCTGTCTTCCAATTCCTGCCATTGCTGCTTCTGTTTTCCAGAGTGATATGCTGATGTCCCTTGGGGTGATGAAGCCCACTGTTAATAAGGCTGATCTGGATAAAATACAAAAATTCACTGACGACTTTGGATCAGAGGGATAATTGCCTTATCCCCCAATGAGGATGATTATGAAGATTCTCCGGATAAACTTATAGTTAAAATTTGATATTGATCATGATTGTATATCCCTTTGTAAAGGTTTTAATGGTTTTTGTCTGTGTTTATGATTCGAAGAAACAAGATGCAAGTTTTTCTACCAGCATTACTCCAAAGTTTGGGAAATTTTGGATTTAAAGTGGAAAACCCTGATGACATTTCTGAACAGTTTTCATGTGAATAGTTGACATTTTAATTTCCCTATAGTCATACGCTGTTNACGATCATGCAAATATTAAGTGTTCTGTTCACCTGGATAATATCTTGCAAGTTGCTGTCATCACAAAATGTTGAAGCAAGCTGCCATTCAATTTCAAAATAAATGATTCGTAGTAATTTTATGCAGTCTACAACAACATTACTGGTATTATTGAGAAAAATGGTGATAGTATAATAAATATTGTGTAAATAAATTTATTAATATTTGTATTAAATAAAAACAGAAAGAACCCACCTCAAGTCCCATCTTTTCAAATCTTGTTTGCAGTCTTCCAGTTCGGTACAGAGACTTCTATAATGGAAAACATTAACCCTTGTTACTCTAAGTTAACTGTCACCAAGAACATTTATATACATATGAAATGAAATGTTATTTTGATTAATTGCTAAGCTGCCAGAGATCAAGCACTTTGTATATATAATCATATTTGGTGATAAGAAATGCAATAGCACAGTGCCTGGCCCTGTAATGACTGCTACTGGTTGTAACTGTGACATGATCTGTCTCAACAAACACAATCTGATTTAGAAGTCCTGTCCATTAGATGAACTTTATCTATAGGCCTTGTTTTAAAAAGAAAACAGGGTAAACAACATATTATGATTAACATAATGTTTTTTTGCCATATGTACTATGAGCTATGGTGGATCCATGATAGAATTAGGGGATTTTGAATACTGGGCCCAAGTTGTGCAAATATTGCTGATAAAAAATTGTACACCACAATAACTCGCTGCTCAGAATTTTTCCTCAAAAATTCTTATTTTTGTCCAAGTAACAAAAAAGGCACATAGTCAATTTACCTGCATAATTATATGTACTCTAGACATGAAGCCCAATGCAGGAGTGGCTAAAATATCTGGCTCTGTGAATATCAGCTCCCTGAAAAATATTTAAGATTATATGAGATACTTTGTCAGTAATCAGGTCAACTATAATTTATTCTTGTTCTCTTACATCAAAATACCAATACTATAAGTATACAAAGAAAAATTAAAACTAGTTCCAGTCTTTTTAAAGAATATAAAAAGTTTAATATTGAAGAACTTACATTTCTGATCATTCATTCATCAATCTATTTATTTATTTACTTATTTATTTAAACATGCATTCATTCACTCAATAATATCCACTTATTCTTTAATGTACTAAGTAATTTATCCAGTTTTATTAATCATGTATTTATTTATATATTTGTAATTAAGTGACAATACAATATTCACCTGCATTTAAGAATCTGTGGCAGCTGTCTGCAGACTGAAGCCTGCTGTGTCACACACACTGTAACAGCACACAACTCCTTCATCTGTGGAGGACAAGAGAAGTACAACTCCCAGGGTCCACCGTCATGCTGGTTCCTGGCCTGCATTTTACTTATTTGATATATGATGTTCTTAAATGATGTAGTCTAAAATTTTCACAGTCGATGCTAACTGGTTATAATTTACTTTGCTCTATGCTGAAAATAAATGAATAAGTTAAAAACTTGAATTGTCTGTAAACTATGATAAATAAAGTATAAAACGTTAAACTTTTATTTTCAATTTACTTACCAGTATATTGTACTTGTAGAGGTTAAGTGAAAATAAATTATGGCAGTATCCCCCCCCCCCCCTCCCACAACCTAGAAAGTATAGGCCTTTGAATTTCATTTTATTAAGTTATGTTCTTACTTCCAATATCTCTGCTGTTCAAAGTAACAAATTGTTTGATTTTACCTAAAATAACGTTGCGTACGCTTGTGAAGCGAATAAATGGTTTTCAACAAACGTTACGATGTTCAAAAGATTTTGACTTTTACTTTCACAAGCAGACGGCAGTCAGTGTGCAAACTAGTCAATAGGTGTCGCTTATCAAGATAATCTGATAAATAATAAAATGTACTCAGTTGATGCATCTGTTGGCATAAAAGCTTTACAATAAACCAAAATATTTATTTTATATATTTTACTACTCTAAAGTACCACTATAATACGTTATACAAATAAATGATTATTTTTCTTGGGTTTTCCTGAAAGTCACGTGACTCTGACGACTGTCAACTTCCGCCATCTTTTCGGGAAGTCAGTACGGTTTGGATGTAGACGAATAATACTTATAAAAATACCAAAGCTGGTCTAAATGTCAAACTCCACGAGCTTACAGGTAAGTCAGATATTCATTGGTTGATGTGATACCGATCGCTGTTATGCTGATCTACCCCTGTGAGTAAAACATTTCCCGACATGTCCACTTTAGAGGTATTTGTTTTGAAAGAGCTCGTGAGTCATGTGCATCACCATTATGATCCAAATATCCATTCAAGATGTAGTCTACGTCAATATGGAATGTTATTGACATCAGCAAACCTTTATAAGAATGACATAAAATTTAACAACTACCTTTGTTTATGAGTGCTTGGTCACAAGACTCGACAGTTACAATACTGCCGTAACACTAAAAGCGACAGTCGGGTCACAATTTCCAGTTTTCGTTCGTCTCACTGCTTTATTCAGCCTAATCCTACACTGCTACTTTGAAGTCGGAGCAAAGTTTTGCTAATATCTTCGAAACACAAACTTGAAGTAGAAATTGATTGTTTTTGATAATGATGGTGTGTCAACCAACCTCACAAGTAAGTAATTAGAAAAGTTAGAGTTTCCTGTTTGTGTAGATTGTGTAATACTAATAACAAAGTACATGTCTGTGAGCATTTAACTTTATGCTTATTTGACATAGCTCCCCAGAAACCAAATGTACTATTTAGCAATGGATTGTAAATGAAGAATTTCTTCTACGTTTTTCTTGGTTTTTTTTTTATAATAGTACATTACTAATTTCCATGCTCACATCTATTTCCAGAAAGCCATTGACATAGTCACCAAGGCTACAGAAGAAGACAAGAAAAAGAATTATGAGGAAGCCTTGAGGCTGTATGAGCATGGTGTAGAGTACTTTCTCCATGCAATTAAATGTATGCAGATTGAAATTTTGAGTTTTTTAATCAAGTTTTTCGTAAAATTGCAACACATTAAAATATTAAAATAAGAATGTTTTGCCTTTCTGCTGCTATTTTTGGAAATTACTGTTTGGTTAAATGTAAAAGCCTTAACTGATATGATTATTTATTCAAGCATTGAAAAAAATTTCAAACGTAAAGTCTTGGCTGTTAGATAAAATTAGGAGGCGATTTATTCTAATTTCAGATGAGGCACATAGTGACAAAGCCAAGGAAAGTATCAGAGCTAAGTGTGTTTCATATTTGGACAGAGCAGAGAAATTAAAACAGCATGTCAGTGGCAAGAAACAGAAACCAGTAAAGGATGGCAGTAGTGGTGGAAATAAAAAGTAATAAAAATTCATTTATTTATGATTTTAAACATGTTTGTTTATTTTATTTTATTTTACATTTATTTTTGTTTGTTTAATTTATTGAAAAATGCTAAATATTTTTCATTTTTATTTTTCAATTATTTTGCTTCTATGTTACCCTTTTAAACATACTGAAAAAGTAGAAAATTACTTGTAATAAAATGCTATCAAAAAGCATATTGATATAGAATTGTTTTGATAAATAAAACTTGCAATTTGAGTGAAAAGGGATTAAGAAAAAAGGACCTACAAGAATAAGAGATTAGACCAGAGAGATTAAAGATTCAATTTATATCCATCTTAAAGTTTTAATCTTCTGATAGAACCATTTTAAAATTCTTGTGAAACAAAAGAAAGTGAAGGGTCAATTATGTAAATAAATCTGGTTTTCTGTAAACAAATATTCTTTATTATATTATACATTAAAACCAATGCTCTGCTGCAGGAAAGGAGACAATGACAGCAGTGACAGTGATTCAGAAGGAAATGCTGAAAAGAAAAAGTTTCAGACACAGCTGGAAGGGGCCATTGTGATGGAGAAACCTAACATTAAATGGGACGATGTAGCAGGTTTGGATGGAGCCAAAGAGGCATTAAAAGAGGCAGTCATTCTGCCCATTAAATTTCCCCATCTATTCACAGGTAAGAAATTTGAAGATATTAAGTGATTTTGGCCAAGTTTTTTTTATCAGTGGAAAAAAGTACAAAAGTATTACTGTAACAGCTCTGTATACTAAATGACTGAAATAATGATCAAATACTATTTAAGTTTTAACTCGGTATTTACTTCCAAAATGCTGAAAGATTCTTTATTTCTTATTGCATAGAATGTTTTTAGCTGTTAGGGAATAAAGCACTTAATAATAATATGTTACATTAATTGATTGTTTACAGTGAATCATAATGATCCGCAATTAGTCATGTTTTTTAACATCTTATATCAGGTAAAAGACAGCCGTGGAGGGGTATATTATTGTATGGGGTGAGTCAAGTTATCCATCATTTTAAGTCTCAGTTTTTATTACCAATAATTTTAGATGTTAATTAATATTTGAGTAAGGCTTGTGGATAGTTGGAGTATAGGCATTGTTTAAAATAAAGATGCAAGAAATAAGACCATGACTGGGAACTAAATGAGAAAAGAACAAGGTATGTAAATGACAATTATTGTGAGCATCATCGTCATCATCATCATCATCATCATTATTAATATTATAATTTTTTTTACAGCCCCCAGGGACAGGGAAGTCTTACCTAGCCAAAGCAGTAGCCACAGAAGCCAATAACTCCACCTTCTTCTCAGTGTCTTCATCAGATTTGGTCTCAAAATGGCTGGGAGAAAGTGAAAAGTAAGCTGATTGATTGCTCTTTATTTGTCTCTCACTGTGATAACATAGACATGTTACTTTGATAACTCTGTGTTGACAGTGTTGTTAATTAGAACTTAAGTTGACCTACTAGATGCTACTATATTTTGCATCAATAGTTCCTTTACTTATTCTCTCAAATTGTTTGTTTTATATAAATTTGTCATATTGTTAGTAAGTTTAATAATATTTATTTAAAATTGTTACGATAACGTGATTATAAGAATTCTATAATGTACTCCATATCAAGTTAAATGCTGACTTAGCATTTTTCAGACATGAGCTTTTTCCGCGGAAAAGTGGAATTCCTTATTTTGTAATTCAATTCTGATGGTTTCTGAGATTTGTCAAAGTTAGGTGTTGGGTCCCATGATAAATGTTTTTTTTTTTTTTTTTTAACCTAGGCTCATGTCTGATTCTTATAAAAGAAAAGTCTGCATAAATGATGTGTGTGAAAATTTCAGAACAGATTTTCAGACAAAATTGAACATGGTCAAATAGAATCCTTTAACATCATTTCCTTGAAAGCACACTCCTTTTTGGTTCATTGTGTATAACAAATGTCTTGATGAAATCTCTTTCAGATTAGTAAAGAATCTATTTGAGATGGCCAGAGAACACAAGCCGAGCATCATTTTCATAGATGAAGTGGACTCCCTCTGCTCGTCCAGGAGTGATAACGAGTCTGAGTCAGCCAGGAGAATTAAGACAGAGTTTCTTGTACAAATGCAGGGTAAGTGATAAGGAGGCAGAATCTCATAAGAGAGACAGGCAGTGTGCTTGTTACAAATACAGGGTAGTTGATGGTATACTGAGACAATCTACCAAGAGAGTAAGGGTAGTAGGTTTGTTACAAATTCTTGGAGATATGATGACTTTGGTTTGCCCAAGAAAATTCTAAAAGACCATTTGAAGGTTATGTTATATGTCATCAGAATTATATTGTTACAAAGTATTAAAAGATTTTGGTGCATCAGAATCATATTATCTACTATTCATCTTTTGTTGTTGGTTTTTTTTTATTTATTTATTTATTATATTTTATTTTATTTTATTTTTTGTAGTAGGCTTAGTGGTGCATAATATTTGCAAGTAGCTCACTAAAATTTCCTTTGTGTTCAGCATTTCATATTTTCCACTGAAGGAATGCACAGTTTACTTAGATTCTGTTTTGATCAGTTATTGACAATGAAAATGTGAAAATTGACCTTAACATTTCAGGTGTTGGGAATGATAATGAAGGAATTTTGGTGTTAGGAGCCACAAATATTCCTTGGGTGCTTGACTCTGCTATAAGGAGAAGGTAGGCATGCAGTTACGCACGCGCACACACACACACACACACACACACACACACACTTATGGAAAGCTTGCATACACACACACACACACGCATGCACACACATTTACCAAACAACATTACTGCAAGTAAAGTGAAATAACTGCATTGACCTGCTTTTTGCTAGATTTGAGAAAAGAATCTACATCCCACTCCCAGAAGCGCCTGCTCGAGCCACCATGTTTCAGTTGCATCTTGGGAACACCCCAAACTCTCTCACTCAAGAAGACTTCAGAGAATTAGGACTGAGAACTGAGGGGTAAGCTGTTAATCGGTGTGAATTGTGTGAAGCCATTCAAACAATCTTTTAAGTTATTAAATAAATCATGCAAAACTAGGGAAATTTGATCGCTATATATATATATATATATATATATATATATATATATATATATGTAAAGTTCTAGTATCTACATGTATGTTCAAATTATTTGTGCCAAAATATTTTAGCTCACTCTGCTTTTAAAGCACTAGGGTCCAAAAATTTTCTAACCTAAAGAAGAAACCAGACCAGTTGACAAGCAACTGAAGAAACTTATAATGTTTTTCTGGCCTTTTTTTATAGACATGTGGCATGGAGCCAGAACAAATGTCAAATATGTTGCATACTGGGTTATTTTTTATCTGCTTTATCTATATACTGTTGTTTGATTTTAGCTACTCTGGAGCAGATATCAGTATAGTAGTAAGAGACGCACTCATGCAGCCAGTGAGGAAAGTACAGACTGCTACACATTTCAAAAGGGTGAGAGCAATTTGAAGTAAAATCTTCCAGGTTTTTGTTTTTATCTTTGTTTATTGTAGAAACCAGGACATACCTGAAAATGAGACTTAAAAGTGAGAAAACATTATGCTCTAAATTTTTTACCATTGGTATAGTCATTACAGGTTTTTATTTTGTTTATCATAAAAATTAGAAGAAGACTGAAAGTGAATCTTTAAGTAATTTAAAAATATGTTATGAATTATTTACCCGAGAACATTTGTTGCAAGAAACGAAGAAAAATGCAGTCTGCCACAAGAGTCTCAAATGAAATGTCTTTTAAAGAGATGCTTACAGTTCAGTTGGCTATCAAACAATGGGCTTATTTCACATCTTCAGGTAAGAGGCCCATCACGTGATAACCCAGATATGATAGTCAATGACCTCTTGACCCCTTGCTCCCCGGGTGATCCCCAGGCTATGGAAATGAACTGGGTGGATGTGCCTGGAGATAAATTATTTGAACCTGTTGTTTCTATGGTAAGTTTGGAGAAGTTTGTGTTAGGCCTTTGTCACAGATATGTATATAATGATTGTAAAGTTAAAACATTGTACAGAAATAGCATGAAACTATCACACTGCATCTGTGGTAAGTATTGGGTCTGTCTTTTGTCAGGTGTCACATAAGGTGAGTATATAAACTCCCAGTTTTATGTACAGCATAAGACAGGATAAAGCAAACTCTCAGTTTAATGTCATTTATGTGTTAAAAGGCCTTTAGTTAGTAATGCAAGAAGATCAGCATTCTGGAGATAGAAATATACCTGGACCTAATGTAGCTGTGGTGGGTATGTGATTTTGTTTTGTCCTGTTTTCCAATTCCTGCCATTGCTGCTTCTGTTTTCCAGAGTGATATGCTGATGTCCCTTGGGGTGATGAAGCCCACTGTTAATAAGGCTGATCTGGATAAAATACAAAAATTCACTGACGACTTTGGATCAGAGGGATAATTGCCTTATCCCCCAATGAGGATGATTATGAAGATTCTCCGGATAAACTTATAGTTAAAATTTGATATTTATCATGATTGTATATCCCTTTGTAAAGGTTTTAATGGTTTTTGTCTGTGTTTATGATTCGAAGAAACAAGATGCAAGTTTTTCTACCAGCATTACTCCAAAGTTTGGGAAATTTTGGATTTAAAGTGGAAAACCCTGATGACATTTCTGAACAGTTTTCATGTGAATAGTTGACATTTTAATTTCCCTATAGTCATACTCTGGTAATTTGGAGACTTTTAAGGATATTGTGATTTCAAGATACAAGAACTCCTGCTGCAATGGCTGTTATCTGATAATTTCATCAGCAATTTTTTTATTTTAGTATTTTCATTAATTGGAATCCTGATGAATTTGTCCAAAACTGGATTTTTTTATGTTTTATAACCATATTTTTTGTTTTGCTTTGTTATTTTTTTTATAACACAACCATAATTTGATCATGAACAGTTAATCAACTTTCAAATTGATATTTGCTGTACAGACACGTTACACAAGTCAAAATATAGTGAAAAATGATCAAACTTGTATAATAAATTTCAAACCCTTAATAAAGCCTTGCTCTTTACACATTACCAACTGTTCTCAAGGTGATATTTTCTGCAGAATTTTCCCTAGACTTTTGCGTGAGTGCATAAAAGCATTTTGTTGTCTCTTTTAAAAACAATTCCAAAATGCTCCTTCTATCCTGTAACTTTTCTGTTCACCCTTCACTAGCACACGAGCTCAAGCTTACTTGATTAACTTACTTAATTAACACCAGTAGGCATAAGAGGAGAATTCTTGGTATGAGGCACCACATGAATTACTATCTACAGAATGTGCGAATGTATAGTGTTTTGAATGCACAGAATTGTGAAGCTCACCATGGGCACTAAGAAAAAAGTGGAGCAAAAACGAGTACAAAATTCATTTCAGTGGAGTAGTGCCAATTATTCTCCTTTTGTACCTTCATGCATTTGAGAAATGCCTTGTTCTTAGAAAGGTAGAGCACTTAACATGCTTATGTTTCTGTTTTCCTGCTTCCTTTATATTGCATGGCATAAAATGAGAACTTTGGCACACTTTATTCCTAACCCTTTCTCCTCCAGCCATTTTTCCACCCAGAATCCATGTACGTAACTTCTCTCTTGCTTGCTACTAAATTCAAAGAACCTTTGGTGTAGATGAAAAATTTGGTTTTAGAAGAATTTCCTGTGTTTTGTATATATACATATTATGAAGAATGTTATAAATGTGACTGATGCATGATATATGTGAATGATGCATATAATATAAAGAAAAATTTTGAAAATTTGCATGACCAAGTCTCTAGTCCTAGATTGAAAAGTGATGCGAAAACAAGCCTCCAACAGGGGGAGGCCCAAACCACTCCATTTAATTAATAAATTAAATCTGGAAAGTATTCCAGACAAAATTTGTATTATCTGCTTTAGCTATGGCTGTGATGACCATATAATTATAGAAACAAACTAAGATAATTCAGTCTTATTAACATATTCTTTCACATTTCAGCAACTATAGGAAGAAATTGCTCACTTTACCATTTCATGTTTAAATGTTTTGTCGCAGCCAGGCCTTGAAATGATATTGCATGTCACTGTTGTCAAGATGGCCTTTTACTTTTTCTTTCACCCACCAGAGTGATGCACTTAATTCCCTCACACGTTCAAAGCCAACTGTGAATGAAGAAGACCTTAAGAAACTAGAGGCTTTTACAAATGATTTTGGTTCAGAAGGATAGAAAAGAAAAGAGGAAAGAAGGAAGAGTAAAAAAAGACTGGCATTTGTGCCCATCAATATTCATGTAATCCATAGACCCAGAAAAGCAAAAAGAGATATCGGTTGACAGTGTCACTGCCAGTTATTGACAGTGTCTTGAGTGTCAAAACTTTCCCATCACCTGGTGTTGATTTTGTTGGTCACTGTGTCACATAGGTTGATGCTAAAACAGAGAGTGGGTGGAACAAAAGATTCCTGTTGATACTAAAACATTTCTGTGTTTAATTAATATGAAGTTTTTAATGGATAAGAAACAAAAGTAGAATTGAAAATCGAGTACATTTTAGATACCACACCAGAAAGTCTTGCTGTCATGCGAAACTGAATTCAAATTTACAGGGCTCACTGTGGCTTAAGCTTGGTGGAAGGGTAGTTCTTATCTTCTTTAATCTCCTTTTTGCTGTAAAAACCTGCATGTATGTTCTAACAGTGTGGATGTTTAACAAGAAAGATGATCATATTTTTGTCTCTGTAGAACATAGAACTCTGGAAAATGCATGCTTGGTCATTTTTTCCCAATATATTTTTTGAAGGGGGTTTTGGGCATGTACACAAGAAATTTTTTTATACTTTTCTGGTATCCTGCTGCATGGGAAATTAAAAATCTTGAGTAACAGTTAGTATTGGTTTTCAAATCATCAAAAAGAAGCCAAAATGTACAAAACAACTTCGTTATTGAGAAATTACAGGTGACTTGCAGCTGTCTAACACAGGTCAGTAAATGTGGAAACCAATAGGTACAACAGTTGTTTATTTATCTCATGAAAATTTGGATTCTCACCCAGTAGCCAATGCATGGCAGTTATTTTACTTTCAAATTTTCATATTTGCCGGCTTGTCTGATATGTGCACATATTGACAATAAGATTTTGAAAATGTGGAAGCATCAGGCATCTGATCAAAAGTTTGGGGTATTTTGAACTCGAATGTATAATAAGACCAAATGTTGAAAAATGATCTATTTCTATATTTAAAATGATTTAAAGTTCAGTAAGGTGCAATTATTTTTTTCTGTGTTGTTCTTTAAATTTAAGGGATAACATGATTTGGTCTCATTATTGTTACCTTTCTAAGTGACATTAACACTTACTATTGTAAATCAAATAGAGCTTCGCTAAGCATGCACTGAGTTAAGAAAAACACATGAACATCAAGGTGTAATTAACTGTAATTAAAGAGAATTTGTTAATATGTTAATGTATTTATTCATCTGAACACAGTCAACACTCATTGATGGCATAAGAATTATGTCTAAGAATAACAACATTATATAACTGAATAATCAAGATTTGTGTAAATATCAGTTTATGGTCATTTTGAACGCATGTTTTTTTTTTTTTAATGTATGTTTATTTATTTATTTATTTATTTATTTATTTACAAAAATTAATAGTAAGTCAATTTTTTTATTTATTTTAATATAGAGACGGTGCTTAAGTCGGCATAGGATGCAGTTAGAATAATATAGACGTGGCAATAGTTTTTATCAGGAATTTAAAGCGCCATTCTAAAACTACGGTTATATTGTGTCAAATACTGCATCAAACTGTACGTGTCTCTCGAGTTACCGTCTTCATCTACCTTTGCTAACGTTACAGTTGAAGTACATAAATATTGTGGCATGCACTGGATACGGTTACAGTAAAAATAAGGGAGTTCGACTTCAGAGTTGTTAGGAATACGATATGTTGATTATCTGTAATTTGTATGGAATAAATATTTCAGAATAGTCCTGTTTCTTTTTCTTTATTAATAATATACCCTCTTATTTTATTTTGCCTCTGGCGATGAAGAATTATTGTTTGAATGAGGTGGTTGAAAAATTACCCATCTTTAAATTTTGATTTCTCAGAAACTATTCAGTAGATCCAAATAGAATTTCACTTTAATTCGATGGTATTTAATAATACTACATGGTATTTCTCACGAAACGTTAGTTTTGACTCAAAAACTACGTTACCACTACCAGGTTTCTTTCAAAATAATTCACAATAAACCCCTACCCTTACACACACGCGTGTAGCTTCTCTACAGCAATCGGACCCCTTCAAATGCGATGTAAAAATATCCCGTTCATATCCGTGATATCATATTTTGTGTGAGATTATCTAGATATGTCATGCAAAAATACAGTGAAACAGAACTTATCCTTTTATGCTATCTTCTTTAAATTTCATCAAAATAAGTCCTCATTGCCATGTATATCGGGCATTTTAACAAAACATTTGGAGCAATTGTGAAATCCCCAGTTTGCAAGAATATGGAAAGAAAAAAAAAATATTTACCGACTGCTACAGAGTCGCTGGCTCACGCAAATTAATGTTAGATCTACAGTATTAATCAGAAAATTTGCAAACTTAATCTATTGAAATTCCCATTGCGTAATATACGTATTAGAACTGTTATTGTTTGAATGTATATCATGTGTTTTAGTTAGGTCATAGCCTGTATTTATACTGCGCTCGAACCAATAAGAATAATAAAAAATACATGAAGTTTTATTTTCAACTGATTAAGCATCGCCCATCTTTTAGTTGGTCTAATTTTTATGCATATAAGGTAACAAACAACACAATACAAATTTCCACGAGTATGAAGCTTTATTTAAGCAATAAGTGTGTGAATAAATAACCATCACAACTCGATTGTCAAAGCTGACAAACATAAATATATATGTAAAAGCAGCGGATGTAATTGCATGTAAAAGTTACATAAAGTTATACCAAAGAAAGCATATTATTACTTTAAATCTATTCATAAATGATTTTTAAAATGCACATGCTCGTGGGCTTGAACGAAAATGTGTAGATAAAAAGTAACCAACAAAAACCGGTATCATTTAAATTTAATTTTAAAAAATTAGATTATCATTATATCATTAAAATACCAGTTCTGTGTGCGATTTCCAGGTCTGGACGCGGATAATATTCCTTGGTGCGTATAATATGGGAAACAATGCATTTAATCACTTTATTCCGGAGTTGCAACAGTGACAACTCCATACAACTCCGGTTGTTTTCTCTTGTCCAATACCATGTTATCTATGTAACTGTGCGCTGCATGGTCCCTCTCGGTATGACAATGGTAATCCGCTGGGAACCGTAATCCGTTCACCATTATTTTGTTCAGGTGACATTCGTCCCATATACTAACCCAATACTACGATTGACCCTAATATGTACTGTTTATATGGGAGCCCAGACTTCCATTCCTAGGATTACCATCCCTGTCACACCTGTCTTCCGAACATTTTGAGCCCAGAACCGCGAATTCTGTAGCTGTATATACTGGAAATAAAAGAAAAAAACAACTTACAACATGAACCCTGTCAAAAATTACACAAATGAGAATTTAAACAAAAATATAATAATAAGGTTATGGTAATTATATATAAATTAATTAATTAATTAAATACCTCAATAATATCAAAGATAGAAGATACAGTCCACCAATGACCATCTGTACGAATCCTCGGAACCACTCCACCGTTCCTGAGTATATACTACTAAGTACTACGCTCCCAATGAGACCACCTGCGTTCTCCATGAACGATATACTGGCGAACAGCGCACCTGGAATATACATATACATGTATGTAGATTAGAGATTCAATTTTTTGTAGAAATTTGGCAGTCTGAAATCACAGATTCAGCAACAGCTGTAGTTTTTCCTTTCTTACTTTGCAGCGTCTGGATCTGTACCGCAGGCGGTACAAATAACCTTCATGTAGGCCCCCTACTGGCATGAAACGGTATTTGGTAGGCCTTTAAAAACAACTGCCCCCCCCCCTCCCCCTCCCAAGCATTTTTCTCAACCTGCGGTCCTTATTGTGATTTAGGATCGTATCGTAGAAAAGTCCCAATATACTTATGTTAACACTGCGTTTATTAAATGGCATTCATAAAATGAAAACTCCCCTCCCTCCCTCCAAAAAATATTTATAATAATAAATAAATAAAGGATGATAAAGATCTAAACTAGCAAAGTTTTTTTCNTTTAATTCTGTTATTTATAGACCTGTTTTGTTGCACTGAAGGAAACAATACCTTGTTCTTGATTTGTTACTTGTTTCGACAGCACTGTTCTTAACATGGGTACAGCCAGCATGAAAAGACACCCGACAGCGGTCTCTGGAATTTAAAATTTTAATAATATGTTATTACATGTATCATAATGAATGGAGAGAGAGAGAGAGAGAGAGAGAGAGAGAGAGAGAGAGAGGGAGGCACGAAGGGAGTTATTTATCAATATTAATAACAAAACAAATCTTACCAATGTAAATGAAGGTATCTGTCTGCGCCAAGGCTAACATAATTCTTGCACCCAATGTGCTTATACAGGAAACCATGGCAACGGTGACTTCCGACATTTTTATCCAACTGCGCATGGCGAATAGCCCTGCCAATGCACATACCTAAAAAAAATGAATAGGAAAGAAATCAAAATGAAAAAAAAAAGAAAACAAAAAACAAAAGCATTAAGCTATTTTTTCAAGGTATTTGCACAAATATTTAAGTCACACCAGACACCGAAAATGTTAACTGCAACGAATTCTAACATGATATAATATGAAATATCATCTTACCTCGTATCCTATGAAGCTAACAGCATTATAGTAGCCAATATGTTCACTATCCCAGCAGAATGGTGAGTTCATTACGTACAGTATATCCAAACTGCCCGCGGAAAGTACTGGTATAGCACAAAATAAAAACACCAGCAAAAGAAGTCGCAGTTTCCATACCCGCCCAGTACCTTTTTCATCTGCTCCATGAAGGAAAAGTTTCCCGACTTTTAAAGCATTTGAGCAGTCGATTAATTTTGCCGAGGGATCTTTCTCCCCAAGTTCCGGTAGGAATGCTATAGTGTATAAGAGAGCTAACAGCATAATTCCCACTAACATCGCTGCAGGTTCGACAAAGGTTGGAAATGTTTTGATCAATATTCCAACACTCATATTCGAAACGGCGGCTGCAAATATGATGGATGACTCTGCAATGAAGATTCTTACCGCCTTGTTTTTGGATGTAGAAATGTCTGCGAGGTAAGCGAAGGCAGCCATTAACGCAGTAGCATCCAGTCCAAATAAACCTTCTATGAAAGATATTGGTAGCAGTGCCCAAAGAGGCCATTTGAAATAAATACCTATGACGTAGCCAACTAGTTTTATAAGACTGCCGATTATTGGAAGGAGAAGGGAAAGTCTCCTGCCGCCCTTGTCGCTGTGGGCGCCGTAAAAAACTGTCATGAAAACGGACGTGACTGTGGAGCATATGGAAAAATACATGCTCCAGTTTGAGGATTCGGCCTGTACCTGCTGCTGCAAAATGTTATCCAGACTGGATTTGTTGACGTCAGCACAGGGTGCCTGGCTAGAACTGTTACCTTCTGGATCATAGCCCTTTTCTTCAGCGACCTTCAAATAAATGTACTGAATTTGCAAAGGCACCACACCACACAAAGAGAAACAATAAAGGAACAAGTAAGGTTCCACAGTTATGGGCCATCTTGCTTTGTATTTTGGCCGTTCGACGTCGCCACCAGTTATTTTAGCATTCCCGGTCTGTGGATGGTAGTAGTCGTGACCAGTCTCCAGGACACCTGTTCCATTGCTGCTGTACTTGTCCCGCGCTTCAACATTGCCATGGTACATCAGTGGTGATCTTTCGCCTCCGCCTCCCATTTTAAATGGCGGTGTAGTGGCGATCGCTTGCAAAGATGAACATGTAAAGCCACCTGAAAAGATCGTAAGGATTTTAACGTCAAAATGAATTATGATACATTGCTTGACCCGTCCCTTCACTTGAAATTTTATTCGATTTAAATTTAAGTTCTAAACGAATGTCCAGTCGAGCTGACCTTGTCTGTCACTTCCAACCTGAGTTTCACAGTTATATGTGGGATTTCAGCTCAATTTTTAGCATAAATTTTATATAAATGAAAACAGCAGAATCAGTTCTCAATAATTTCTTCAACTCAGAGAGAGTGTACGTGAAACAAACATGCTGATTGTGGAGTCATGAACTCGGAACAGGAGTCGACTTTATAGATTAGTGTGTTTCAAGTGTACTGGAAAATAACCCTTGCCATCAGCATGCCTCCACCGTTTCCAGTGACTGGACTGGGAATGGTGAGGCCGTACTTATAGTGGAAGATAATTTCCAGTGAATTCTGAAATCATTGTACTTTCGATACAAGGCACAAAATATCGCATAACTTTCGTACCCGGAGTAGCAAAACTCACCTTGCTGAAATGTAGACCTGCTGCACGTTGAGGAGAAGGCGCACCGCTAATTTCTACTGTTATGATACTGTTATTTCTTTTTTAAAAATCATCACAAAAGGTTTTGAGTCATAAGAGTGAAATCCGACCGAAGCGAAAAAAGCGAAACTATTACGTTTCTCTTTATTGTTATCTTGTGGGTGTGCAGCTGTGAGTAAGCATGTGCGTGATCATGAAAAGGATAATAGATCTGACTCATATAATCGCCACTTAAATTATGTTAAAGAAAAGAAACGAAACGATCGCGATCACCTGTTTCAATAAAAAAGGGATTTTCAGCAAATGTAAATAGATCTGGCTCATATAAGTTTACAGAGCAAGTTTTAAAATATTAACTGTAACCTGGTTTGACTGGTGTTGAGAAGAATAAATACATAAACATGTTAATACAATATCTTTAATTGCAGTTAATTACGCCTTGAGAAAATCAATAGATAATGATTAAATGAAAAATTTAATAGTTAGGATTCAAGGTTATTCATATATGTTCCCACTTTAACTTTGAAGTAAAATGTAATCTCCTCCTTAAATGTCCTGTTCTAAATACGCACTAGACTAAGTATATCAACGCAATGCAAAGTGTAAATTTGTTTTGTGTATGATAGATATATCAGTGTCGCCTGACTAAGGTTTGAGCCAGGCTATATTGGAGCAGGTTAACATTTCTTGCTGATTGACTTATTCCGATCATATGAAATGTTTCATTAATAATTCAGTTCAGAAATCTTGTCATTATGCCTTTGCACCGAAGCCATTTCCAAATGCAATCGAAAATTTTTAAACAGTTAATTCCGTCCTTTCAAAATGTCAACTATAATTTATACGGTCAGATTTAACGGAACCTACACCTTTAGCATCTCTTCAATTCAGGCATTTGCCTTCGTCAGCAAAATTAGCGGAATTCCACAACACAATGGTAAATACTTCTCTACCGCAATCAGACCCTTTCAATCGAGCTTCACACATTTTCCATTCAGGGTAGTGCTCTCACAGATTTTGCCTGGGATTAGTCGTTTTGAGTTTTGGAATGCGTGATTTGGGTGATATAAATATCACCCTTTTGAAATTTCATCATGTAAGTGTACATCCTCAATACCGAATATATCGGAAATTCCTTAAAGAAAACTACAATAGGAGGAATTGTGAAATAAATAGTTGGTCTGAATACATATCTTAATCTGAGCAAGTACAGTCCGTCTTTCTGTTGGTCTAATTTTATCACGCATCTAAAGGTAACAAACAACACACACACACACACACACACACACACACACAAAAGACTATTCGAATTCACAACTAAAAAGCTCTCTTTATACAAAATGCTTATGTATTTATAACCATTACTCCATTTCAAAGACAACATGAAATCAGCGGATGTCACTACATGTTAAAATTCCATATAAGCTACATCATAACATACATAGTCTAATATATTACTTTGAATTTATTACTAAATGATATAATTTACATGATCGAAGTTTGTCACAATAAATTAAAGAAACTTGCATGAAAGATATGTTGATGAAATCTCGGTAAATTATTTAACATTAAACTTCACCAAAAGGGAATGCCGTTATCATAAAAACAACATCATCATACATGTAACATCGTCAAAATACCAATTTTACGCGCTTTTCCGGTCAAAAAACGCACAATACACCTCGGGGCGTTTAGTAGACCAATTTACTTTTGAGTTTCAGCGGTGACCATATATACTCCTTGTAGTGCAAGTAGAGAGGAGTCACTGCGGGCCTTTTGAAATTCAAAGGTGTTCCCCCTTATCTTCTAGCATTGGCCACTATTACTGCACGCTGTATGGTGCCTCCCTGTCTCCCCAACTGGGAACTGCTGACGTTTTGAGGCCAGAACTGCGAATTCTGCAGCTGTAAACACTGGCAGTAGAAAAAAAAAAAACAGAACTCAAAACATGAAACCAAAGACAAAAACGTGTGAATTTCATAAAAATATAATAATAATAGATAGATAGATAGATTGATTGATTGATTGATTGATCAATAAACTAAATACCCCAATAATATCAAAGATAGAAGATACAGTCCACCAATGACCATCTGTACGAATCCTCGAAACCACGCCACCGTTCCTGCGTATATACTACTAAGTACTACGCTCCCAATGAGACCACCTGCGTTCTCCATAAACGATATACTGGCGAACAGCGCACCTGGAATATACATGTACCTAGATTAGAGGTTGGAGGATTTCGCTTTCACACATTAAGCATTAAGTGCCAGTAGTGCATGCTACCAAGGATAGTACCGTAGAAAAGTCCCNGTCAGTTATTGACAGTGTCTTTAGTGTCAAAACTTTCCCATCACCTGGTGTTGATTTTGTTGGTCACTGTGTCACATAGGTTGATGCTAAAACAGAGAGTGGGTGGAACAAAATATTCCTGTTGATACTAAAACATTTCTGTGTTTAATTAATATGAAGTTTTTAATGGATAAGAAACAAAAGTAAAATTGAAAATCGAGTACATTTTAGATATGACACCAGAAAGTCTTGCTGTCATGCGAAACTGAATTCAAATTTACAGGGCTCACTGTGGCTTAAGCTTGGTGGAAGGGTAGTTCTCATCTTCTTTAATCTCCTTTTTGCTGTAAAAACCTGCATGTATGGTCTAACAGTGTGGATGTTTAACAAGAAAGTTGATCATATTTTTGTCTCTGTAGAACATAGAACTCTGGAAAATGCATGCTTGGTCATTTTTTCCCAATATATTTTTTGAAGGGGGTTTTGGGCATGTACACAAGAAATTTTTTTATTCTTTTCTGGTATCCTGCTGCATGGGAAATTAAAAATCTTGAGTTACAGTAAGTATTAGTTTTCAAATCATCAAAAAGAAGCCAAAATGTAGAAAACAACTTCATTATTGAGAAATTACAGGTGACTTGCAACCGTCTAACACAGGTCAGTAGATGTGGAAACCAATAGGTACAACAGTTGTTTATTTATCTCATGAAAATTTGGATTCTCACCCAGTAGCCAATGCATGGCAGTTATTTTACTTTCAAATTTTCATATTTGCCGGCTTGTCTGATATGTGCACATATTGACAATAAGATTTTGAAAATGTGGAAGCATCAGGCATCTGATCAAAAGTTTGGGGTATTTTGAACTCGAATGTATAATAAGACCAAATGTTGAAAAATGATCTATTTCTATATTTAAAATGATTTAAAGTTCAGTAAGGTGCAATTATTTTTTTCTGTGTTGTTCTTTAAATTTAAGGGATAACATGATTTGGTCTCATTATTGTTACCTTTCTAAGTGACATTAACACTTACTATTGTAAATCAAATAGAGCTTCGCTAAGCATGCACTGAGTTAAGAAAAACACATGAACATCAAGGTGTAATTAACTGTAATTAAAGAGAATTTGTTAATATGTTAATGTATTTATTCATCTGAACACAGTCAACACTCATTGATGGCATAAGAATTATGTCTAAGAATACCAACATTATATAACTGAATAATCAAGATTTGTGTAAATATCAGTTTATGGTCATTTTGAACGCATGTTTTTTTTTTTTAATGTATGTTTATTTATTTATTTATTTATTTATTTATTTATTTATTTACAAAAATTAATAGTAAGTCAATTTTTTTTATTTATTTTAATATAGAGACGGTGCTTAAGTCGGCATAGGATGCAGTTAGAATAATATAGACGTGGCAATAGTTTTTATCAGGAATTTAAAGCGCCATTCTAAAACTACGGTTATATTGTGTCAAATACTGCATCAAACTGTACGTGTCTCTCGAGTTACCGTCTTCATCTACCTTTGCTAACGTTACAGTTGAAGTACATAAATATTGTGGCATGCACTGGATACGGTTACAGTAAAAATAAGGGAGTTCGACTTCAGAGTTGTTAGGAATACGATATGTTGATTATCTGTAATTTGTATGGAATAAATATTTCAGAATAGTCCTGTTTCTTTTTCTTTATTAATAATATACCCTCTTATTTTATTTTGCCTCTGGCGATGAAGAATTATTGTTTGAATGAGGTGGTTGAAAAATTACCCATCTTTATATTTTGATTTCTCAGAAAGTATTCAGTAGATCCAAATAGAATTTCACTTTAATTCGATGGTATTTAGTAATACTACATGGTATTTCTCACGAAACGTTAGTTTTGACTCAAAAACTACATTACCAGGTTTCTTTCAAAATGTTTCACAATAAACCCCTGCCCTTACACACATGCGTGTAGCTTCTCTACAGCAATCGGACCCCTTCAAATGCGATGTACAAATATCCCGTTCATATCCGTGATATTATATTTTGTGTGAGATTATCTAGATCTGTGATGCATAATTTCAGTGAAACAGAACTTATCCTTTTATGCTGTCTTCTTTAAATTTCATCAAAATAAGTCCTCATTGCCATGTATATCGGGCATTTTAACAAAACATTTGGAGCAATTGTGAAATCCCCAGTTTGCAAGAATATGGAAAGAAAAAAAATATTTACCGACTGCTACAGAGTCGCTGGCTCACGCAAATTAATGTTAGATCTACAGTATTAATCAGAAAATTAGCAAAGTTAATCTATTAAAATTCCCATTGCGTAATATACGTATTAGAACTGTTATTGTTTGAATTCACCATTATTTTGTTCAGGTGACATTCGTCCCATATACTAACCCAATACTCCGATTGACCCTAATATGTACTGTTTATATGGGAGCCCAGACTTCCATTCCTAGGATTAGCATCCCTGTCACACCTGTCTTCCGAACATTTTGAGCCCAGAACCGCGAATTCTGTAGCTGTATATACTGGAAATAAAAGAAAAAAACAGAACTTACAACATGAACCCTGTCAAAAATTACACAAATGAGAATTTAAACAAAAATATAATAAGGTTATGGTGTATATATATATAAATTAATTAATAAATTAAATACCTCAATAATATCAAAGATAGAAGATACAGTCCACCAATGACCATCTGTACGAATCCTCGGAACCACGCCACCGTTCCTGAGTATATACTATTAAGTACTACGCTCCCAATGAGACCACCTGCGTTCTCCATGAACGATATACTGGCGAACAGCGCACCTGGAATATACATATACATGTATGTAGATTAGGGATTCAATTTTTTTGTAGAAATTTGGCAGTCTGAAATCACAGATTCAGCAACAGCTGTAGTTTTTCCTTTCTTACTTTGCAGTGTCTGGGTCTGTACTGCAGGCGGTACAAATAACCTTCATGTACTGGCATGAAACGGTAATTGGTAGGCCTTTAAAAACAACTGCCCCCCTCCCCCTCCCAAGCATTTTTCTCAACCTGCGGTCCTTATTGTGATTTAGGATCGTATCGTAGAAAAGTCCCAATATACTTATGTTAACACTGTGTTTATTAAATGGCATTCATAAAATGAAAACTCCCCTCCCTCCCTCCAAAAAATATTTATAATAATAAATAAATAAAGGATAATAAAGATCTAAAGTAGCAAAGNCAAAATGTTATTTTAATTCTGTTATTTATAGACCTGCTTTGTTGCACTGAAGGAAACAATACCTTGTTCTTGATTTGTTACTTGTTTCGACAGCACTGTTCTTAACATGGGTACAGCCAGCATGAAAAGACACCCGACAGCGGTCTCTGGAATATAAAATTTTAATAATATATTATTACATGTATCATAATGAATGAAGAGAGAGAGAGGGGGAGGCACGAAGCGAGTCATTTATCAATATTAATAACAAAACAAATCTTACCAATGTAAATGAAGGTATCTGTCTGCGCCAAGGCTAACATAATTCTTGCACCCAATGTGCTTATACAGGAAACCATGGCAACGGTGACTTCCGACATTTTTATCCAACTGCGCATGGCGAATAGCCCTGCCAATGCACATACCTAAAAAAAAATGAATAGGAAAGAAATCAAAATGAAAAAAAAAAGAAAACAAAAAAACAAATAAAGCATTTAGCTATTTTTTTCAAGGAATTTGAACAAATATTTAAGTGACACCAGACACCGAAAATGTTAACTGCAACGAATTCTAACATGATATAATATGAAATATCATCTTACCTCGTATCCTATGAAGCTAACAGCATTATAGTAGCCAATATGTTCACTATCCCAGCAGAATGGTGAGTTCATTACATACAGTATATCCAAACTGCCCGCGGAAACTACTGGTATAGCACAAAATAAAAACACCAGCAAAAGAAGGCGCAGTTTCCATACCCGCCCGGTACCTTTTTCATCTGCTCCATGAAGGAAAAGTTTCCCGACTTTTAAAGCATTTGAGCAGTCGATTAATTTTGCCGAGGGATCTTTCTCCCCAAGTTCCGGTAGGAATGCTATAGTGTATAAGAGAGCTAACAGTATAATTCCCACTAACATCGCTGCAGGTTCGACAAAGGTTGGGAATGCTTTGATCAATATTCCAACACTCATATTCGAAACGGCGGCTGCAAATATGATGGATGACTCTGCAATGAAGATTCTTACCGCCTTGTTTTTGGATGTAGAAATGTCTGCGAGGTAAGCGAAGGCAGCCATTAAAGCAGTAGCATCCAGCCCAAATAAACCTTCTATGAAAGATATTGGTAGCAGTGCCCAAAGAGGCCATTTGAAATAAATACCTATGACATAGCCAACTAGTTTTATAAGACTGCCGATTATTGGAAGGAGAAGGGAAAGTCTCCTGCCGCCCTTGTCGCTGTGGGCGCCGTAAAAAACTGTCATGAAAACGGACGTGACTGTGGAGCATATGGAAAAATACATGCTCCAGTTTGAGGATTCGGCCTGTACCTGCTGCTGCAGAATGTAATCCAGACTGGACTTGTTGACGTCAGAGCAAGGCGACTGGCTAGAACTGTTACCTTCTGGAACATAGCCCTTTTCTTCAGCGACCTTCAAATAAATGTACTGAATTTGCAAAGGCACCACACCACACAAAGAGAAACAATAAAGGAACAAGTAAGGTTCCACAGTTATGGGCCATCTTGCTTTGTATTTTGGCCGTTCGACGTCGCCACCAGTTATTTCAGCATTCCCGGTCTGTGGATGGTAGTAGTCGCGACCAGTCTCCAGGACACCTGTTCCATTGCTGCTGTACTTGTCCCGCGCTTCAACATTGCCATGGTACATCAGTGGTGATCTTTCGTCTCCGCCTCCCATTTTAAATGGCGGTGTAGTGGTGATCGCTTGCAAAGATGAACATGTAAAGCCACCTGAAAAGATCGTACGAATTTTAACGCCAAAATGAATTATGATACATTGCTTGACCCGTCCCTTCACTTGAAATTTTATTCGATTTAAATTTAAGTTCTAAACGAATGTCCAGTCGAGCTGACCTTGTCTGTCACTTCCAACCTGAGTTTCAGAGTTATATGTGGGATTTCAGCTCAATTTTTAGCATAATTTTTATATAAATGAAAACAGCAGAATCAGTTCTCAATAATTTCTTCAACTCAGAGAGAGTGTACGTGAAACAAACATGCTGATTGTGGAGTCATGAACTCGGAATAGGAGTCGACTTTATAGATTAGTGTGTTTCAAGTGTACTGGAAAATAAGCCTTGCCATCAGCTTGCCTCCACCGTTTCCAGTGACTGGACTGGGAATGGTGAGGCCGTACTTATAGTGGAAGATAATTTCCAGTGAATTCTGAAATCATTGTACTTTCGATACAAGGCACAAAATATCGCATAACTTTCGTACCCGTAATAGCAAAACTCACCTTGCTGAAATGTAGACCTGCTGCACGTTGAGGAGAAGGCGCACCGCTAATTTCTACTGTTATGATACTGTTATTTCTTTTTTAAAAATCATCACAAAAGGTTTTGAGTCATAAGAGTGAAATCCGACCGAAGCGAAAAAAGCGAAACTATTACGTTTCTCTTTATTGTTATCTTGTGGGTGTGCAGCTGTGAGTAAGCGTGTGCGTGATCATGAAAAGGATAATAGATCTGACTCATATAATCGCCACTTAAATTATGTTAAAGAAAAGAAACGAAACGATCGCGATCACCTGTTTCAATAAAAAAGGGATTTTCAGCAAATGTAAATAGATCTGGCTCATATAAGTTTACAGAGCAAGTTTTAAAATATTAACTGTAACCTGGTTTGACTGGTGTTGAGAAGAATAAATACATATACATGTTAATACAATATCTTTAATTACGGTTAATTACGCCTTGAGAAAATCAATAGATAATGATTAAATGGAAAATTTAATAGTTAGGATTCAAGGTTATTCACAAATATTCCCACTTTACCTTTTTGAACTCAATGACCTTTTATCAGCTTCAATATCGAAGTATGTAATCTCCTCCTTAAATATCCTGTTCTAAATACGCACTAGATTAAGTATATCAACGTAATACAGTTTGAGTGTAAATTTGTTTTGTGTATGATAGATATATCAGTGTCGCCTGACTAAGGTTTGAGCCAGGCTATATTGGAGCAGGTTAACATTTCTTGCTGATTGACTTATTCCGATCATATGAAATGTTTCATTAATAATTCAGTTCAGAAATCTTGTCATTATGCCTTTGCACCGAAGCCATTTCCAAATGCAATCGAAAATTTTTAAGCAGTTAATTCCGTCCTTTCAAAATGTCAACTATAATTTATACGGTCAGATTTAACGGAACCTACACCTTTAGCATCTCTTCAATTCAGGCATTTGCCTTCGTCAGCAAAATTGGCGGAATTCCACAACACAATGGTAAATACTTCTCTACCGCAATCAGACCCTTTCAATCGAGCTTCACACATTTTCCATTCAGGGTAGTGATCTCACAGATTTTGCCTAGGATTAGTCGTTTTGAGTTTTGGAATGCGTGATTTGGGTGATATAAATATCACCCTTTTGAAATTTCATCATGTAAGTGTACATCCTCAATACCGAATATATCGGAAATTCCTTAAAGAAAACTACAATAGGAGGAATTGTGAAATAAATAGTTGGTCTGAATACATATCTTAATCTGAGCAAGTACAGTCCGTCTTTCTGTTGGTCTAATTTTATCACGCATCTAAAGGTAACAAACAACACACACACACACACACACACACACAAAAGACTATTCGAATTCACAACTAAAAAGCTCTCTTTATACAAAATGCTTATGTATTTATAACCATTACTCCATTTCAAAGACAACATGAAATCAGCGGATGTCACTACATGTTAAAATTCCATATAAGCTACATCATAACATACATAGTCTAATATATTACTTTGAATTTATTACTAAATGATATAATTTACATGATCGAAGTTTGTCACAATAAATTAAAGAAACTTGCATGAAAGATATGTTGATGAAATCTCGGTAAATTATTTAACATTAAACTTCACCAAAAGGGAATGCCGTTATCATAAAAACAACATCATCATACATGTAACATCGTCAAAATACTAATTTTACGCGCTTTTCCGGTCAAAAAACGCACAATACACCTCGGGGCGTTTAGTAGACCAATTTACTTTCGAGTTTCAGCGGTGACCATATATACTCCTTTTAGTGCAAGTAGAGAGGAGTCACTGCGGGCCTTTTGAAATTCAAAGGTGTTCCCCCTTATCTTCTAGCATTGGCCACTATTACTGCACGCTGTATGGTGCCTCCCTGTCTCCCCAACTGGGAACTGCTGACATTTTGAAGCCAGAACCGCGAATTCTGCAGCTGTAAACACTGGCAGTAGAAAAAAACAGAACTCAAAACATGAAACCAAAGACAAAAACGTGTGAATTTCATAAAAATATAATAATGATAGATAGATAGATAGATTGATTGATTAATTGATTGATTGATCAATAAACTAAATACCCCAATAATATCAAAGATAGAAGATACAGTCCACCAATGACCATCTGTACGAATCCTCGGAACCACGCCACCGTTCCTGCGTATATACTACTAAGTACTACGCTCCCAATGAGACCACCTGCGTTCTCCATAAACGATATACTGGCGAACAGCGCACCTGGAATATACATGTACCTAGATTAGAGGTTGGAGGATTTCGCTTTCACACATTAAGCATTAGGTAACCAGTAGTGCATGCTACCAAGGATCGTACCGTAGAAAAGTCCCTTAATGCTAATGTTAATACAATGTTTAGCAAATGCATTAAAAAATTAAGACACCCTCCCTCCCCCCAAAAAAATTAATAAGAAAACTTTGCTCGATTCAGACTATCAGAATGATGAATTAGGAAAACGTTGATGTTATTCGAGCCGGAAAGATAAAAAATAGGTTGGTAGAATGAAAAATTCTAATGGCTTTGCCTAGGACATATCAAAGTGATAAATTTTTGAAATGTCAAGGATTTATAAAAAGCTTTATTAAGGTGTTAAGTTCAAGGTGTGCGTTTTATCACATAAATCTAAACAAAAATGTTCGGCGACTAATGACCCCTATAAAACCTTCGACGGCCCTTGGCTTGTAAAACGTAAGAAGATGAAAGAGAAGTGAGTTTAATTCCACTATCTTATAATACCTTGTTCTTGGTTTGTTGCTAGTTTCGACAGCACAGTTCTCAACATGGGCACAGCCAGCATGAAAAGACACCCGACAGCGGTCTCTGGAATATAGGATTTTAGTAATAGGCCTATGTTATTAGCATAATGAATGGAGAGAGAGAGAGAGAGAGAGAGGAGGCACGTGGGTGGTAATTTTTTAAAATAAATGTTAATATCCGAAAAAATCTTACCAATATAAATCAAGGTATCTGTCTGTGCCAAGGCTAACATAATTCTTGCTCCCAATGCGCTTATACAGGAAACCATGACTACGGTGACTTCAGATAATTTTAGCCAACGGCGCATGGCGAATAGGCCTGCCACTGCACATACCTTTGATATATGAATAGGGAAAAAAATGAAATTAACAACAAAAGCAAAAACATTTAACTATTTATTTTCAAGCAGTTGAAACATAAATTTTAGTCACATCAGACATCTAAGAGTTTAAACAATTATGACAAGATAGTAACGTGAAATATGACCTTACCTCATATCCGATGAATTTAATAGAGTTATAGTATCCAATGCGTACACTATCCCAGCAGAATGGTGAGTTCATTACATACAGTATATCCAAACTGCCTGCGGAAATTACTGGTATTGCACAAAATAAAAACACCAGCAGTAGAAGGCGCAGTTTCCATACCCGCCCGGTATCTTTGTCATCTGCTCCATGAAGGAAAAGTTTCCCAACTTTTAAAGCATTTGAGCAGTCGATCAATTTTGCCGAGGGATCTTTCTCCCCAAGTTCCGGTAGGAATGCTATAGTGTATAAGAGAGCTAACAGCATAATTCCCGCTAACATTGCTGCAGGTTCGACAAAGGTTGGGAATGCTTTGATCAATATTCCAACACTCACATTCGAAATGGCGGCTGCAATTCCAAGGGCTGCCTCTGCAATTAAGATTCTGATCGCCTTATTTTTGGATGTACAAACGTCTGCGAGGTAAGCGAAGGCAGCCATTAAGGCAGTAGCATACTGCCCGAATAAACCTTCTATGAAAGACATTGGTAGCAGTGCCCAAAGAGGCCATTTGAAATAAATGGCTATGACGTAGCCACCTAGTTTTATAAGACCGCCAACGGTTGGAAGGAGAAGGGAAAGTCTCCTGCCGCCCTTGTCGCTGTGGGCGCCGTAAAAGATCGTCACGAAAACGGACGTGATTGTGGAGCATATGGAAAAATACATGCTCCAGTTTGAGGATTCGGCCTGTACCTGCTGCTGCAAAATGTAATCCGGGCTGGACTTGTTGACGTCAGCGCAAGGCGACTGGCTAGAACTAGTACTGTTACTTGCAGGAACATAGCCCATTTCCTCTGCGACCTTCAAATAAATGTACTGAATTTGCAAAGGCACCACACCAAACAAAGAGAAACAATAGAGGAACAAGTAAGGTTCCACAGTTATGGGCCATCTTGCTTTGTATTTTGGCCGTTCGACGTCGCCGCCAGTTATTTCAGCATTCCCGGTCTGTGGATGGTAGTAGTCGCGACCGGTCTCCAGAACACCTGTTCCATTGCTGCTGTACTTGTCCCGCACTTCAACATTGCCATGGTACATCAGTGGTGATCTTTCGTCTCCCTCTTCCATTTTTATTTGCTCTTTGTTATGCTTCAGTTACAGGTGTGGCAGTCAGTTTCAAATATGAACGAATAATGTCACCTAAAAAGAACATCATGATGATAATTAATGTTTATTTCTTATTGGCGATTCTTGAGCATAACCACTGCCCTGTACCCTGTATTTTATTTTATTTTATTTTATTTTATTTTATTTTATTAATTTTTTTTTTCAGAACAACACCGTCATCTCCTAGGTGGGTTTTGAAAAATAGTACCCCCTCCCGTCTTTTAAAGCTTTTCATAACTGAAAGACTCAGCATCCATTGCCTATTCAAAAGAAATGACAAGACCAACCTTGATACCCAGCGTAGATCCTGCCTATGCCTCTAAAGTTAGTTTGTCTACCTCCAACAACATGTAACTGGTACATTTACCTATATCGGAACCCCGGGATAACAGAAACAGGGATTGTCTAGTATCATACCTTAGCCGAGGTCAAAATAGTTACTTATTCACAAAATAGTTACTTATTGCCTGATAACCTCTACTTGTCAACTAGAACCCACCACAGACAGAATAAAGATGTATTTGAAGCGAGTTGACATATCAAATATTTCCCACTAAATCCGACCAAAGGCCATATGCACCATATAGTTTCAAACAGCGTAACTTAAAGCGTAACTCAAAGGGTATCGTTTGGTACATTCCACGAAAAATATACTTGGGCAGATATTTCCTGCTATTTTTCTGTGCTATATTTAGCCCTCGCTCGTTTCTGCCAGCCTCATTACTATTTGACCAACTACGAACTTGAGGCACGATAAATAGGCCAAGTGTACGACCTGAAATTGAAAGAAGGTTCAGTTTGAAAGCTTTTTCTACTGATCGAGTGATTAATTCGGTTTATCATTTAGCAAGTGGACTTAATGTGAATTGTGCGAGATACTGGTAGTACCAGTGACCTACATGTGTTACAGAGAATCTACGCTCTCTTCATATGTAACTTTAAGGGTTGTTTGTCAACTTCATGTAGCCTATAACCACTAACACCTTTATTTCATAAAATTGATTTTCACTGTCAATAGTTTGATTAAATTCCAGAGCAATTTCTCCCGTACCTGCATTTAGTAAGAGTTCTATATTTGCCTGCCTGTATGAATTTGAAATGGTAGTTTGAAAGGGTGAAATTACCAGTCGGTAATAACTGGATCGGTTTTAATAATTGGTTTTAACTGGAGTGGCTTTGGTGAAAAGGCAAAATTATATTACATTACATATACAAGGTACATTACACATACCAGATCTCTGACACGAGAAGAAATAACGAAATTAAGAAACATAACGAAACATTTACTTTATAAGAAAGAAATACGTTAATCGACAACACATATCTCCACCATACCTGCTCCAATGTAGACAGACTTGAACCTCTGTTCCACCAAACAACGTGTCCTGACTTGAACCTTATCAATTGACACTGATAAACTTAAGTACACAAAACAAGTGTACACTCTGTTGATAATACTTAGTCAAGTATTTAGAACAGGTCTCCGTAACTCGAATTGCGATGGCGATATCACCTTTCAGGCCCGTAGCCAGCAATTTCAAAAAGGGGGTTCTTTTTCTGAAAAAGTGAACCTTTTTCCATAAAAAACTTCATGTACCTAGATCAAATTTTACCCAGAGTGGACCTTTTCCCGGCAAAAGGGGTGGTTCTTTCGAACCCCCCTGGCTACGGGCCTGCGGCTTTCATTTTCGAGGCTTTTATGTATGCATGGGGCGAGTAAATGCCGAGTTATGGCGCTTGTGTTCGTTCGCAATTCGCGATGCTTTCGAGTTACGGAGCCCTGGTTGTTTAAGGAGGTTAAGTATGCGATAATATTAAGTAGGTGACTCATCATGTGCGTATGGATGTACGAGTACGTTGAATATGTTATATAGACATGTGTATATATACACACAATGGACAATAGAAGTGTCACCCCCTGAATCAGTCATTTATCTTCCCCAAAGTATTGGTTCAGTAGGGGTGACACTTCTATTGTCCAGTGTGTGTAATTTCTTATACTGTATTTGCTGGAATGACAGAAATAAACTAAAAAAAGTTTGCGATAATGCCCTGTCGCCCCGAGCGATATATACCAGAGCACCTCGAGCGTCAGTGAGACAGGTGTTCAAGGCATATATGGCAAGAGAGTGGCAGTGTATTATGTGACATCCGTACCGAGAGAAAGTACTTGTACTCCCATTTCACCGAAACAAACCCTAACACCGAATAAAGCGTATATCACCACGGTCACATAACGTCTCGATCTAGCTACGTATAATGCAAATAAAAGGTCAAAGAGGTTTTTTTAAAGGTAAAAGGTTAAAATTTGCCATTTATTTATATTTTTATTCCAATAAACTAACGTTCAGTTATCATGTATTTCATTTATCTGCGTTATTGCATTTATACATTTTACCACATAATGGTTTATATTGAGTCATTTGGTTTCTTTATATATTTATTTTGTTGACTTATATATATATATATATATATATATATATATATATATATATATATATATATATATATATATATATATATATTCACTTGAAAACTCAATGTCGAATTACTTTTTGTGGCAAAGTGACACCAAAATAGAAATGGATACACTCTAATCAAATACACAGTATCATATACATCACAATCATTGTCAAAACTTTATATCTCTCACAGCTCACAAACTATTCAGTGCTCTCTTTATTAGGAAACGAAATAAGCTCATCCTTTATAATTCCAGACAGAGCTGCCTTTTCAAATCAAGCAGCATATTTGGTGTGAGCAAGGTCACTCCACTCGTAATTAAAGGCATTAATCTTCATTTCGATACGGACCGAACTGGCAATACAAAGCTGCTTCCAAATCCCCTCATCAAGGTACTGAAAGCCAAATACATAAATGTCGCATTTATAGATATAGATAAATGTGAAAGTTTTTATCACTTTTTAAAACTTCGTATGTTTTGTCGTCGAGGCACAAAGAGGGTTACATTCTATTTTTGAGAAATAAAAAAAAAACAAATAAAACAAGCTTTAAGTCGTTGCGTTGTATATCCCAAGTAAAGGCCGTGTAATTACATGTATATAGGCTACTGGACCCTTTTTTATTCTATTCAACAGAAGGCCAAGAACTTAAAAGAGACAACAGTTCTTCGTATGAGATTAATATTTCACAATTAATACATTGTAAACAACTCACGAAAAAAAATAGTTTCTATTTTACCACCAAAACGGCGGTTATCGCAATTATGCTGGAATCTGTGCTTGCCATCAGACCACATGACCTTCATAGATAGCTTCCCTCTGTAATAATCTCTTTAGATATAATTACAAAAACCAAACTTAGAAAAATAAATTAAAAAAACATCGACCAATTTTGAATGTTGGAACGGATTCATTAACCATTTATAAGTATGGAAAAATCCTCATTTACCCCAGGAAAATCCGTTTTATGACACTTTTCCCACCAAAATGGATAGCTACTATCCCTTTAACTTTATTTTGTGCTTTGGACTGGAGCGTTTTTGAGTAAAATATGATGTCACAGAGGTTCAATCCATGCAAGCTTTAAGGTGTGATTTTTTTTTTTTTTTTTTGTGGTCATTGTAATAAAGATCTATCCGAATTACGTTCGTCTGTTTTCGTCAGTTTCCGTGACTGGCGTCGTTCGCCAAGCCTGCGGCACACAAACTTGTGCAACGTTAGGGACGTCTCAACAGGTCCATCTTTCATAAAGATTGATTAAACACGAGTTATTCCAGGTAGGATGACTTGGGGTACTGCCAAAGGTTTCTTATTTTATAATTTCTATGTGTTCATTCTTTTATTTATTATTCATTTGTGTTTGTAGTTTCTTCAATGATATTAAATTTATATTTGTAAATATGTCCCATTTTATTCAGCTGTTTTATATGACTTATGTTAACTCATTCAGAGTATAATTTTTATCATTTGTTAATCATATTTAGTTATTTATAATTATAATACATACCTGAGATACAAACTTATGCCACGTTTGGGAGTGGATTTCTCTGTTACAAAAAATACCGACATTATACCGTAATAAATATATACAATAAAACGTAAACTAAAACGTAACCCCCTTTTTTATTTATCTAGAATGGATTTTCGTGCTGATACTCTTAGTTCAAACCATGAGCACTGTTTATGTTTTTGATAGACGACTTAGAGAAACCTTCAATGCAACCAAGGATTACATAACTATATTTAGCAAGACCCCCGCCCCTCCGCCACTAAAAAATCAGGCTCCATCCGTCTGTTAATCTTTTCCCTTTCAACTACAACATAATATACAGCATTTGCACAATCTGTGTTTTCTTTGAAAATCCCATCTCCTTGAAACGTGATAATCACTAATAAAGGGATGGCTAAATGAATGATCAATTGACTAATTTTTCCAATAAAGCTGCTCAAGGATGCATCAATAAAGGGGATGTCAGTCACCTCATGCAATCAGTTTATGTAACAGACCAATGGGTCACGCAAAATCGATTGTCTGTCATTATTATAGATTGAATAAGTTGTCGTAAGCTGTGTCCTGAAATAAAGAAGGATTCCAGACCATCGTTTTTCATAGAGTTGCGTATTATTTTCGACACATGGCTTCCTTGTCGGCCCGTAGGGGTCGAGTTGTAGTTCTTGACGCCACGTTCTACCCCTATATGCCGTGTATGACCTGATGTGTGTAAGGCAACGGCCTATTAAAGTCTATAAGCCCATGAAGCCTTAAGTTTTAACAAGTGCAATTTAAATGATATATTTCACGTTGGAGACACCAGTACGCCATAAAAAGTCCATGAAGACAAACTTTAGAGAGCTGTATACAGCAAATACAAGCCAGGTGACACATATTTATGTAAACGTTATTTAAATACTTTAGTCCAGGGGGATAATGAGTTGTCTTCGCCTGCCATGGCAATAACCAAGAATGTTACGTCTACCTGGAAACTGGACGTCCCTGTGTACGGAGAATATATTTAAACATCTTTGTTCTGTATTTTGTTGAAATGCTTCTTTGGTGTCTCTGACAGGTTAAAATTCTGTTACAAACTGTAGGATTCCTCGTTAAGAAGCCGAGGTTGTCTCGTTCGGTGAATTATTACCTCTGATGAGTAACATGATAATCTTTGAGAATTGCGTTTCAAGTAATGGGATCTTAGATCAAACGGTCTGAAATTGATACAGAAGTCAGTCGGTAATTCCACCGAGCTCTCATTCCAGTTGAATATTTCCACTTAAGTTCTATAAACCTGCCCTTTTGAATCGTATCTCGGATGAAAGGCGGTTAATGGTTCCGTTTATACATGTTGCACATGTAAATATGAGAAAATGCTACTCGGTAGATGGAAATTATTAACTTCGGTGTCACCCATTAAGCCATGATAGACATCAACACGCTTCATCGTGATCCTCTTCTGAAACTGTACAGCGTATGATCTTTCAGAACACAATACTATTGAATAGTATGGTGGTCGAAGAGTTAAAAAAGAACTTCATTTTTTCCAAAGTAAGCAAAAAATTTATACTATATATATATTTTTTTTTCAAAACACTAGAAAAATGTATCCTAAAAAGATCCTTCAAGAAAAAGAAAAAAAAAGGACATCAAGGGACTCTCTGTCACGTAATTGCTGTCGTAGCCATGTTGTCAACTTGTCAGTGTTTCAAAATGAACCAGTCTAGACTGGATTAGTTCAGTAGGCCTATACCAGTCGACAGGCGTAATACTGGTTGTAATTTTAATCCTTACTGTCAACCAGGAGAAGGCATGTTATTCAGTTAATCTGATTACATTCAGCGAGAGTCCCCGCGGAGTTGGATTGATCTACGTAGACCGAAAGTGTCATTGGGAGTGGGCCCTTAGGCTTTGGAGACTGACAACCTACTTCTTTGGCTATTACGTACAAGAGTCACCTAAACGAAGCCCTCGAACTCGATAGGCCCAATTAATCAACTTTACTTAAAAAGGAAACGAGCTTGTGAGGAATGCTTCCTCCTCTCCCTACCCTTCTGACAAAAAAAAAAAAAAAAACGGTCCAAACTGTATCAGTTAAATATACCACTCAGTGTGAAAAAACCCTTTTGCATTTCGTTTTTCACTTCGTTATTCATTAATCTATTTCTTTATTTTATGTATTTGAAAAGCATCAATCTCCCTTTTTAACTTTGGGGCCACCATAATATAGTCAAAAGCATAATGTAGGAACAAAGTTTGTTATATATTCAATTGTCTCTAGTGTAATAATGGGAAAATTATACCGTGTGACCAGCCATGACGAAGAAGTCATAAGATGCAATCACTTTGATGAAGGGTCGAAACATTATGCATGCCCTTGTTTCAAAACAAATGGTTTCAAAGATACCGCAAGCTTCAAGTGTGTCCAGGGAGAGTTGACCACAGTCCCCTCATGACTACTTACCAGAACAAATAAATATGTGGAGATTTTTTTTTGTTCCAATGACTAGCTAGATTGGTGGGTTTTGCTCAACTAAAGCAATCTGTCTCGCTTTCAGTTTTTCCAGGCAGGCGCTTTTTTATCTTG